AAGGCACTTCCCTCACAGATTCCACACTCCACAATCTATCGTCTCTCCCAAACCTAGTCAGCCTCGGCGTTCAAGATGCAGTATTGACCAACCTCGGTCTCGAGAAGTTTAGACCGCCTCTGAGCCTGAGAACACTCGACCTCAGAGGCTGTTGGCTTTTAACCGAAAATGCCATCACTGGTCTCTGCAAAAAGCACCCTCACATAAAAGTGATGCATGAGTTTGCTCCAGAATCCTCTTCTCTTGACCAAAATAAACTTCTTCCTCGGTCATCTCCTCCACAGAGTTCGGCAAAGGTAGGAAGGAAGAAGAATAATCAGACCCCGGAGACTTCTGCTGCTGCTGTTTCCAGGAGTTTCATAGGTATGCCTTTTCCCACTAACAAGCTGAGAGATGTGATTTTTATCAGAGCTCAAAAGTTTTAACTGTACTGTATTTATTGATACAGATCAGAGGGTGAAGTATAACAGGGAAGATCTATTTGCTCTACAAGATTCGCCCTTATCGCGATTGTTTCCACGAGAAGGAGAATTTGCCAGTGTACCGGAGATTCTATCTGATATCGTGTCAGGCATGGTAATTGAGTGACCCACCTGATTTTAAAGCAAAAGGGTTGTTGACATATGTTGTATTCTAGTATCCTCTGAAAACTAATATCTTAGCATCTGTCGTGCTGGGACGTATCCTCAGTTTCTCTTCCTCGAATTTGCAAGGCATTTTTGCATTTTGGCAGACACCGCAGAAAACAAACTCCACCAGTTTTAACATTTTAGGCTTCCAATGTGTACAAACCCACTGCGTTGCAGTTAACAGTAACAAAACTTAAAATATGTTTTTGTTACTATTAAGACCAAACCAAAATTATTCTGCATTCAAATCGTGTTAGTATTCAACAGAAAAGTAAAGAAAAACAACAATATATATAGTTGACACAGTTCATAGAAAGAGCCTATTGATAAAGTCATGGTCTGAAAGCTAACCTTTCACTTGTGGTTTTTGTACATTTCATTAATTACTGTACACTCTGTCAGAACTCTTAGTTTATTATGCTTCTATCTCTTTTTTTTTTGAAACACTATTATGCTTCTATCTCATATTTATAGGTTTCAACAAGGAATCGATTTTTTCGGTATATTATTTCATTATATGTTTGTGGCTGACTTGGGCCCCTGAAAATGTAGAAACTAACGACAGCCCTCGAGACACAGCCACGTTACTTGTTTTGCCCTTTATAGAATAACCAAGAAGTTCCGTCTGGTGATAAGAATTTGATGCAATCCAATAATAAAAACGCGTAGCGCTTAATAATTCAGTAATCAAGTGATAAAACCGCTTATTAATGACATTTTCAAGTACTATATTCTATCAATAATACTAGTATAGAATGTTCTGAATTATTTGGTGTTCATATGTTCGTTATTAGTAAGATTAAATGCTAGTAATTATGGTTATCACATCACAATCGTGCTTACTCAGACGATATAGCTAGACAACGGTTTCAACTGTATTTACGCACCGTATAATTTATGAGAACGTTTGATATTTGGTCAAGTGGCTATAGTTTAGTGGTTGTGATTGAGTTGATAAACCGATTTCTGAAAGTGATATTTTAGATCGATTTTGTGTTAGTTTAGTCTTTTGTTGATCCTTGAAATCGGGAGAGAATAATAGAAATAAAATGGAGTTTGACATTGTTAGAAACAGATCATACTATGAATTATTGGATTCTATCTATACTATTATTTAAGAATTAATTTTGCTGAGGTGTCAACTTCTCCTTAATTTTAGGTAAATTTGTTTATTTACATTATTTAAATAATTTCATATAAAATGTATTATTTAATAAAAACGAATTTCTATTAATATATCATATTTTTGTAAATAAGATAATTCTTGTAAATTATAATATTATCTTGAAATATATTTTTATAGTTGTCAACGTCTCCTTGATTTTAGGTAAATTTTTTAATTTACCTTATTTAAATAATTTCATATAAAATTTATTATTTAATAAAAACGAATTTCTATTAATATATCATATTTTTAGTAAACAAGACAATTCTTGGGAATTATATTGTTATCTTGAAAAATATTTTATAAATAAAACTTATATTTTAAATTAAGATATAAACACTATTATTTTTATCTAAAACAAATTTATATTAATAGTCTAATACTTTTCTAAAATAAGATAATCATTATGGATTATGTTATTTTGTTGAAAATATATTTTCCTATTATAAAACTTAAAATTAAGATATAAAATTATATTATTAATAATTAAATATAATTCATAATTAAATATAAATCATCAAAACAATTATTTGAAAAGTGAATTTGTTGATTTGTCTCCATGATCCTAGGTAATTTTGATCATTTATCAGAATTTTCATAATTTTGTTTATTATTGATTCTACAATTAAAAATAATTTATATTAATAATATGATATTTTATAAAATAATTTAATTCTTATATATTATGTTGTTATCTTGAAAAAATATTTTTATATTATAAAATTTAAAATTTAAAATCTATAATATTATTTAAGAAGTGAATTTGATGTTTGCTGATTTGTCATATTTTCTTGATTTTAGGTAATTTTGATAATTTATTAATTTATATAATTTTATATATAATTTATTTTATATTTAAAACAAATTTATATTAATAGTATCAGATTCTTAGAAAATAAAATACTTCTTATGTATTAAGTTGCTTTCTTGAAAATATATTTTTCTATTAGAAATTTAAAATTAAGATATAAAAAGATGTATTTATTCTATAATTAAAATAAATTTACAATAATAATATTATACTTTTAGAGAATATGGTAATTCTCATGTATTATGTTGTTATCCTGAAAATATATTTTTATATTATATAATTTAAAAGTAAAATAGAAAAATTATCTATTATTAATTAAATATAAATCATCACTCAAGAAAAATTATTTAAGAAGTGAATTTGCTGATTCATTAAGCTCTCAATTATTTTAGGTAATTTTACTTATATGTCATAATTTCTATAATCTTATATAACTATTATATAATTAAAAAAAAAATATCATATGATCATTTCAGAAAATAAATAACTTATGCATTATATTGTAATCTTGAAAATATGCTTTTCTAATATAAAATTTAAAATTAAGATATAAATATTATAATTAAATATAAACCAAGAAAAATAGTTATAGAAATATATTCTTTTAAATATTTCTTATGTTTGAGATTTGTCATTGATAATTATTTGATGTTTAATTTTTACTTTTTGAAACATAAATAATAACTTACTATGATAATTTTTAAATGAATGAAACATCAACTAATAAATATTCATAAGAGAATTATGCCCGCAAGTGCGGGCAAAACACCTAGTTGATGATTAATTTCCAAGGAAAACCGTATATGAATGTATCTACGAGCTATTATCACTAATTTAATATAACTAATAATAGCGAGATGGGTTTTATATTCGAATTATAGTCTATTATTTTAGTGGCCTAATCTATATATTCACTTTGGGTCTGTTAACACTTTTTATTACTAAAAGTGATTTAAGAGATTGTCATAAGAAATATCATTTGTTTGGATTCCAATGAAAATTTCTTATTTAAGAGTTCTTAAAAAAAATTAAACATTATTTAATAAAAATAAAATTTAATTATTAAATAAAATATTATACAAATAATATTTTAAATATAGATTTTTTTTTAAAAAAAAAACATAAAAACAAAGATTATTAAAATAAACAAGAATAATTTGAAGATGTTATATAGAAAAATGAAAATTGTGAGAAAGAATGAAAATAGTCGAAACCTCATCTACTCTCCTCTACCCACTCAAGCTTGGACACACATCTTACAAGAGACGTTCGTTGCTCTTCTTAATTAGGAGGCGTATCTTCGTTATTCCACTATTTTTTCCTAATTACCTTAAGAGACGAGGTTAATATACCTGGTTAATCATGTCCTAAGATCATAGTTGCGAGTGCTTTATAAATGATGAATCATCACCTTTTATACCACATATAGGGGTGGGCGTTAGGGTATCCATTCGGGTTCGGTTCGGATCTATTCGGGTTTCGGGTTTTCGTTTCACAAATTTTAGCCCCATTCGGATATTTCTAAATTTCGGTTCGGATCTTTGCGGGTTCGGTTCGGGTTCGGATAACCCATTTAAATTATTTTAAAAATTTTAAAATTGATTATATACTTTACATTTCTAAAAAACTATAAAGAAAATAACATATTACAAATAATTGAATAACATAAGTCAAAATGCCTAAAATTAACATATAAATTAGTTTGATTTGAATATTTGGATTGGGAATCAATAATTTTTTAAAGTATTTTCTATGTTTTAAGTGTACTTTAGTAATTTTAGACATGTATGTTTGACTATTTACATATATTTACATATATTTACAAGTATTTTGAATAACTTCAAAGTATTTTATATATATTGAATGTTTTATATATACATTAAATCTAAAAATAACTAATATATATAGGTATATAAATCTCTTTCGGATATATTCGGGTACTCGAAGTACTTCGGTTCGGGTCGGGTTCGGTTTCGGTTCTTTAAATACCAAAATTTTGAACCTATTTGGATATTGAATCAATTTCGGTTCGGATTCGATACTACTTTTTCGGATCGGGTTCGGTTCGGTTCTTCGGATCCGGGTTTTTTGCCCAGCCCTAACCACATATGTCATTGAGCAATCTCCTATAGGTCTCTCAAATCCCCTATGCCATCTCTATAAGAACTTTAATCAAATTGACTTTTGGGCTAATATTGGGCTTCTCGTGTATATTTCTTTTCCAACTTTCCATGAACTAGATGTGTACTTCTACTAAACGCCTATAAAATACACTTGCACGGGGCTCATAACTTCATTCACCACCTTTTCTATTCATTCGCTCTCTCATCAGTTTCTTTCATCCTCCCTCTAATCTTTCCACGAGAAAATCACCACGCAGCAGCAAAGAACAACGATGGAGAATGAGAAGAAGATGATCACGTTGAAGAGCTCCGACGATGTAACCTTTGAAGTCGAAGAAGCGGTCGTACTTGAGTCTCAGTTCTTGTCGCATCTTGTTCAAGATTGCCCCGCTCCTGAACACAAGATCAAGGAAGTCACAGGCAAGATCCTCTCGAAGGTGGTCGAATACTGCGAGAAGCACGTCGTTGTCGTCGTCGACGGTGGTGATTCTTCTTCTTCCTCCGGTGATGATCTCAAGAAGTGGGACGATAAGTTCATCAAGGAGATGGATCTGTCAACGGTCTACGATCTCATCGCGGCAGCTAATTACCTAAACATCCAAGCTCTTCTTGATCTCATGTGCCAGAGAGTCGCTGACGTGATCACAGCATGCAAGGACCATAAGGAGATTCGCGAAACGCTCGGCATCGTGAGTGACTATACCGCAGAGGAAGAAGCAGAGGTTCTTAAGGAGAACGAGTGGGCTTTTGATTGAGTGATCGAGCGGGTTCATCATCTAAACCCTAGCTAGCTTAGCTAGTGTTTCTTGTGGAATCTTTATGAGATGAACATGGCTTTCTTGTTTTGATTTTTTTTTCTTGTTTTTGGTGAATATGAACCTTTCTTGGCTCTTAAGCAAGATTGAGTAAAAACAGAGCTTTGTATATATCTAGAAGAAGTTTTGTACATTTGAAGCTTTGCGTTTTGAGAATCTTGATTCCATTTTCTTCTTCTGTCAATGGCATGCAAAATATATTGGGATTTAGAAAACTTTGATTCGTTCTGTGAATTAGGGTTTTATAGGTTAAACAAACTCAAACTTTATGATAAAATCTCTATACATCGATCGCTTTTACAGCTGCAACTGAATCTATACCTAAAGAACAATGATTGTTTTCACTAACATGACGTAGCCCTTCTTATGGTGTTGGATAAGTTGACTCTCCTCTCTCATTGAACATTCAAAACTCTGTGAAAACAGAGGATGATGGTTGAGTTGTGTACATATATGTAGAGAAGGTTTTATACATTTGAAGCCTATTCGAGTCAATCTTGTGTCAATGATCATTCTCATACGCTCACTCTTGCTAATTCTGATACCAAATGCTCCATCTCTTGACTCTTGTTACGCTAGTGTTGTGTCTGTATCGGTAGAGCCCGAATAATGGCACCAGTTCATTAGGGATCGAAATAGTAGCTCATTTGGTGCTAATGTATATGTTTATTAATGAATTTCGGTTAGCTTTTCTCAGCCAAGTTTTTTTTGTTTAACTAATGAATTTATTTGAAGAATGTTTCAAAAAACTTATGTAATTCAATTGTAATCCAATTTTATAAAAACAATTATTAATGAATTTATTTCAAGAATTGGGACGCTGAGCTCATCACGCAGATGGATCTGTCCACGGTCTATGATCTCATCACGGCTGCGAACTACTTGGACATCAAAGAAAGGTCTTCTTGATCTCACTTGCCAGAGAGTCGCTGATGAGATCGCAGCATGCAAAGACCATAAGGAGATTCGCGCAAAGTTCGGCCTCGTGAATGACTTTACAGCAGATGTTCTCAAGGATAACGAGAGAGTTAATCTAAACCCTAGCTAGCTTAGCTAGTGTTTCTTTTGGAATCTTTAGATCGTTATTGCTTTCTTGTTTTGATTTTTGGTGAATATGAAACCTTTTCTTGACTCTCAAGCAAGATTGAGTAAAAAACAGAGCATCTTTTGTGTATGTGAAGCTTGCGTTTAAAGAATCTTGACTCCATAGTCTTTGTTAGTAATCGTTCTCGTCTAGTTCTAACACTAAGCTCTTCTTTTCTTTTGCCTGCAAAATGTATTCGAATATAAACAAACTTTGATTCCTTCTGTGAATTAGGGTTTGTATGCACACACACACACTAAAGTATGATGACTGAACCTGCGCACATTATTTAATAGAAAATGTACAATTGGAAAGAATGTAAATATTTCATATAGCATATGGTTTGATAAGTGAATTCATAGTATTATCTCTAAATATGGCAGATTTTAATAATATAAATTCCGAAAACCCAGCATCCCTAAAATCTGAACTGGAAACTCGTATAAGTGTGTGTGTTCGACGTCCTCGCAGGTTCGTCCTTTAGGCTTAGTTTCATATGACTCGTAGTAACGCATGCAATAAAGGTAAGAGGTTAAGCTTTTCTCTCTGTTATGGTTTCCTATGTTCTCTCCTTCTGCTTTACTCTCTTCTCCAACATGGTTATTTACTCTGTTTGGTCCATATTGGTTTACTCTGTTCTTACAAGCGCTCAAACTGTCATTATTTTGAGATTCCACTAGATTATAGATGGATTGAGTGTGATAAAACTGTTTGTAGTCTTACCACTACTTAGACCATCATTATTGGGAGGACGGTTTTGGATCCTTAATATTTTTTTTTATTTTCTGATTTAAAAAAAAAATTAAAAGTGAACGAGTCGCGGGCAGCCACGTGTCATGGGGTTCGCAGACAAGGCAAAGGACTGAGCAAGAACGTTCCTTGTTTAGGAATTTTTCTCCCTCTCTCTCTCTTGGTCCTCCTCGTTTTTGACGAAGGACACGCCAAGGACTGAACAATAATCTTGCTCTTAAACTTTTAGCTTCTGTTATTTTTTTTTCTGAAACTTTGTTAATTCAATTTTATTGTTGTAGTTGCGTGCTCATATCACTTCATCATCTTTCAAGCACTTTTTAAGGAAGAGATTGGTTTTGTCTCTATGTTTATGACCTCTTCAGGAGCGAGACACTGGTTAAACTGTCTCTAGGAACAAATCTTTATCCTGGAAAGCTTCCTCCTGGTGTGTCTCTTCCAGCGCTTAAGAGTCTCTTCATTGATTCCGTCGTGTTTGACGACCAAGTTCTTTGTGATGTGCAAAATTGCGGGCTTATCAAATGAAGGCCCAATCCCACCCCGCAGCAAGCCTTTACGGGCCAGGCCCGCGGTCCAGGTCTTTGATTGCCATCCCTAGTAAATGCGAAGTTTTCTTGTAGTGTAATATATATTTAAATTGGTAGCAGTTACTAATACTTCGACTTGTACTAGTGGTTAGAAACTCGGTTTTATGGTCGCTAGACCTGGTTTCCAAACCCATTTTCACCTTTTCTTGCATTTTCCGACATTTAATTCATTAACTGAGAAATTACATGTCTACCCTCATCTCTTTGTTAGATTTTTCTGCAACCCTAGCCGCCATTCAAACACGATGATGTTTCATCTTTTTTTTTTTGGCTGCTTACAGGTGGTACACTTTGGCGGAAGTCACGGGTAAGTGTATTTCACCGTAATACCGTCCCCCTGAATATTGAAGTCAATCATCTTTGGTAGCTCCTTCGACAAGTCTGCCATCACAAAGACTTTTGCAATATCAAAGTTCGAGCAAGCAATAGTTTCAGAATGTAATCTATCCGGCTTCCCTACTGCACTTGTCATAAAACTCAAACCCTCCCATGAGTACATACTCATAGGAACGCTTGTTAGATGTACCCACAGAGGAATCAAATGCGCTTTAGATGTATCCTCTTCTGGTGACAATTTCGATTCAATCATTGGCACACCCACAATGTTCTACATCCCCCTTCTCACAACTTTTTTTTTTTATCACATCACTCGTAATTCTGACCCTCATCGTCGTTGAAGCCATCTCGTAAACGTTGAATTTCTGTGTTTTATCACCAAATTCCCAAATCTTATTCAAAATCATATGAACTTTTGCAATATTCGGAGCTGTTTCAAGGAATTTTGCAATCACAAAGTCTTCCCACAGTGGATTAGCTTTCTCTATGATCTCCGATGGGACTTCAACCATCTTATTCCCATCTGAAACCGAGATCTCCAAATCATACTCTCTCAGAACTTTTTTTCCTGCGCCACCGCAACCCAAGTCTTCGGAGGTACAACCGGTGCTGGCGGATCTTCTTGTGCCGCCGTCGAACTCATCCCCACATCCGGAGAAGCTAGCCGTGAATTAGAAATCTCGATCGCCCCCAAAATTGCCAAATCGCCATTAGTACCAAAACGGTGCGTTTCGGTATTAAAAATCTTGCTCCACACCGTGTCGGGTCTCTTATAGAGAAAGAAACCAAACCGTCTTTCAATGGGCCATCAGTATCCTTCAACAAAGAAAAAAGATTGGAGGAAAAATGTTGTACCCAATTTCAGTAAGAGGTTAAAGGTCCGGGCCCATATGCCATCGTCATCAATCCGACCCAAATCGAGTACGACGAGGTCGAACTACTACTCCAAAGATCGCGGAAACAGTTAGAGAAAAAGGAGACTATAAAAGGTGAGCTAGAGCAGAGCATAAGACACACTGAAAACCCTAGAGCAAATCACTATTCTCATCGACCTCACTGCTTAACATTTAGTTCACTTATAGTTTCCATTTTTATTTGTTGTTCTCGATCTCGATCATTACTTTGTATTAAAACTTATATTCAATAAAGTCCATTTTTGTCAACCGAATTCCGATTGTATCGTTGTGTTCTAAGAACATTGTTTCCCACATCATTTATCCTCTCCAGATTAAACTCTTTGATCACTACAAAATACTTAGTGTGGATTTTAGAATTTATAACTAACATCAAGGATATAAAATAAATATATATGTATATAAAAATTAAAAAAAAATCTGCACGGTTGCGCGGATCAAAATCTAGTATTTGTTTAAGAGAATAGATCACTAGATACACCTTACTTTAAATAATTTGTTCTGATTTTTTTTGTTTTAAAAAAAAAATTATATCAAAAGGCTATGTGATGTGGATAAAGTTCAATTCTCTACCACTCTGATGCAAGCACAACAGTGTTAATGTAATAGTAAAAATGTCAATCCAACCTAAAATTATCTAAATCATGGAGAATACAAGAAGTCATTTAATCAATGCAAATAAAGTTGGTTTTAGATTGATAAATTAAGTTTCAGACAACATACTCAAGTGAAAACAAATTATAATCAAGATTAAGGCTAAACTCGTGGGATAAGACAATTGATTTCGGGTGATAGACTTCAGACTTAAGATGCTCAAACAATCAACTAATAAGTTTCTTTAACCTAAAAACACAATAATAAGTTAATCCACTATCATGATAAAAGTTCATATGCTAGTCATGCATCAGTACATCAGTTCTTATTGGTCAACTACACTCAAACACACATTCAAATGAGTCCAATTAGTTGAAGTTCTCTTAATGCAGTGACTCTCGTCGGTCAAGCAACAAAATACAATATGAGACATTTAGACATTTCATCGAACATTTATCGGGGATGAAATAATCTAAGATTTAGAAATAGAGAGATCATGTCTATTTTAACATTAAGTACATCTCATTTGTAAGAGACATCATTAATCTAGTTCTAAACATCTTAAAGCATCTATCTTTCACCTTATCTACCTAACCCATGAGTTTATAAGAAGATTACTCACTAATAATCATGAAAACTTCAGAATTATGGTTTAGTTGAGGTTAAACATGATTAGAAGAAGATATAATCAAAGATAACATGAGATTAAAATATGATAAAGATCTAAACTTTTACAAAATTCTTAGAGAAAAAAGTTGAACTGAAAACAAAAGATAAGATTAGGGTTTATCCCTTGGGAAGTATTTACAGGTAATTAAAAATAAAGGTTGAATCGCAGTTTTAATGAAACTCTGCGTCCAATTTGCAATTACGTGAAAATCGCGTTTGGCGTTGGCGTTTGGCCTTCTTCTTCTTCGTCTCCTCTCGCGTGTCTCGAGCTCGGGAACTTGAACTCATCCTTCGCCGGTCGTCGTTGCCTCCTCCATTAACCGGAGCCACCGCAGCTGCTCGCCGGAACCACCACCGTTTCTCCTCCATCGAACCCAGGGTTAAGCCGAGAGAGTGACGGATCGACCTTTTTGCGTTTCGACCCATCGGTCAAGTAATCCACTGCTACGATTCCTCTTCTGATTCTTAGCATTTCATCCATATGTATGTAATCTCTACTGGTTTAGACTTAATCCTCGTTTTTTTTTAAATCATCGAAATTATTGTACAGAACATGCCGGTGGTGGTTTCTCTGGCTAAGGTTGCTGCTTCTCCGGCTGGAGATTTCACCGTTCGCGTTTCCTTCGGGCGTCGGAGCTGTGCAACGGCTCCTACCCAATCGCGTTTCCTTCGGGCGTCGGAGCTGTGTAAGTCATCGCGAACTGCAGAGTCCCCGTGTTCTTGGCTCCGCCACAGGTTTTGAAATCAAACATTTGCTTCTCTTGTTAGTTCCTTGTTTCTTCCATGTTGATTTGCATTTCCTTTCGTGTTTCTTAGATTTATCGTTGGATAATTCAGTGGAGAATGGTCACCTTCCCAAGCGAGATTCGTTTGCTGTAAAAGCTGCTTCCTTTTCTGCTGAGGCTGATGGGTCCAGAGACGAAGCAGTAAGGAGGAAGAAGCTTGCTGTGTTTGTGTCCGGAGGTGGTTCCAATTTCAAGAAGATCCATCAGGGATGCATTAGTGGAGATGGTTCAGTTAATGGACATGTTGTTTTGTTGGTAACTAACAACAAAGGTATATATCGCCTTTCTTCTTCATAGTGATGTCATTGTTGAACTCATCATGTAATACAGATTGTGGAGGCGCTGAGTATGCAAGGAGTAATGGGATTCCTGTTTTACTATTCCCAAAACCTCAACCACAATCATCTCATGGACTCTCTCCAACACAGCTTGTGGATGTTCTTAGGTATATAAGCCACTTCTCTCCCTCTCTCTCTCTCCATACTTAGTCACTGAATTGAATCGTGTTAAACTCAAAAACATTCGCAGGGAGTATGGTGTGGACTTTGTTCTGCTTGCTGGTTATTTGAAGCTTATACCGGTGGAGCTGGTCAAAGCTTTTCCCAAACGGATTTTGAATATACATCCTGCTTTACTTCCAGCTTTTGGAGGTAAAGGGCTTTATGGTATGAGAGTGCATAAAGCTGCTCTAGCCTCTGGAGCTAGGTAACAAGGTCCCTCCTCATACTACTACATTACGGTTTCTATGTTTCTAATGCTTTTCTACTTTTGTTAGGTATTCAGGTCCAACCATTCACTTTGTGGATGAAGAGTATGACACAGGCCGGATACTTGCTCAAAGTGCAGTCCGTGTGGTGGCTAATGATACACCAGAGGAGTTGGCTAAAAGGGTTCTTGATGAGGTACTACTAGAGAATACCTTCTGAGCATTAGTTTCAGATGATTTCATGTGTTTATATTTCTGGGCTTAGGAACACAAACTGTATGTGGAGGTGGTTACTGCCATTTGTGAAGAGCGGATTAAATGGAGAGAAGATGGTGTCCCTCTCATTCAAAGCAAAGATAACCCTCATGTGTTTTATTAGATTTAGTTACAGATCCTCCTCCACAACAACTGCATTGGATCTCAGATTGGTTCCATTTCTGAAACAGTAGTTCTGCCTAGTTTATAGTCTTCAGGGAGTAGAACAAGTTTTCCCCAAATTATATCGATTTTGAAATGTTTCTCAAGCTAAATTTTTATTTGGTGTATTGAGAGGTAGTGTGTTCTTGTTGTATAAAACCTTCTTTTTATTCTTGATTCCAACCAAAAGCTCTGATGCATCTGTTTACTAATGACCGTTGTTCTAAAAAGGGAGAGTGTTCCATGGTGAAATGGTTTAGTCTTGCGCCATGATTACATAAAAAGAATAGATTCTCAAGAATTGGCGAAAAGTAGCTGACGCATCTAAACAACTCAACAGCAAGAAGAGATGAAACAACGAAGACATAAACAACCTCAATGTAACTGGAAATGGCAGTAAAAGTATCAAGTTTTTGAGGAGACTATCCTACACCAGAGGCAAAAAAAAAAGAAAAAAAAACGTTTTCTAAAATCAAGCTACGGATGTTTTATTACCATGAAGTTTGATTTCTTCTATAAGAATCAAAATCTCTGTAAGGCGGATTACAGATACTAGCTTATAAGAAACAACGTTTTATAAGAAACAACGTTTGGTCATATTTCTGAAAGTGATTGGCGGTTGTGATTGAGTTGATAAACCGATTTCTGAAAGTGATATTTTAGATCCATCTTGTGTTAGTTTAGTCTTTTGTTTATCTTTGAAATCCGGAGAGAATAATATATGAAATAAAATGGAGTTTGACATTGTTAGAAACAGATCATACTATGAATTATTGGATTCTATTGATGATTAATTTCCAAGGGAAACCGAATATGAATGTATCTACGAGCTATTATCATGTAACACTAATTTAATAGTATAACTAATAATAGCGAGATGGGTTTTATATTCGAATTCTAGTCTATTATTAGTGACTTATCTCACGACGACTAAAAAAACAATCAAGACAGGTTAGTGGTTAGTTGCGTTGCCAGGTTTTAACACGGTTTTGGTTTATTTTATGGCTTTAAGGCACAAACTAACCGGTGAGAACATGAACTTGCTTTCTTGTGTCTTCTACAATATTTTTATAACTAAATATAATGCCAAATGAATTGAAAATAATTTTGATTACTTTCATAATCATCATAAACTGTGCATGTTGTTTCAAATTCATCGCAAATTTAGATGAATGTCAATTGAATTAGCCCCCAGTTACCCCCTGTTGTTGTTAGTGAATATTGAACTATTAGGTTTAGGTTTTGTTTAGCTTTGATCTCTATTTCTTAGTCCGATTTATTTTATTTTGTTCAAACTAAACTGTGTATAACGAAACTAGCATCTTGATAACCGAATAACAAATTTTTGGTTGGTTGAATTTATTATCAATAAAACTAACGATAATATTACATTTTTAAAATATAAATCTAACAGATCAGCATATGGTTTATCCACCTATCGCGCTAAACAGACTTAACACTATATAACTCCATATCACACATTGATCCATGCAAGTCGCCAACTCCCATCACATTGACCCACAGAAGAAAAAGAGAAGAAGAAAGAATTTTTTTTCTTGGGCACTTCCCAAGTTTTCTTTTTTCCTCTACGTACTTTTTTGTGGGCATTTCACAAAACAAAAACAAAAACTATATTTCCTTTTCTTTTCAATATTTTCTTTAAGTTTATAAAAATGGGAAACTGTTTGAATGGAAACAACATTAAAAGAGAGGTCCAAGAAGAACAAGAAGTCAAGAAAGATTACAACAAAAAAGATCGGAAAGTGAAGATTGTTTTGAGAAGAGATGAGTTAGAGAAACTCATTCTTTTCCAGTTAAACGCTGGCGGTGACGTCAAAGGCAAAGGAGAAACAACTTTGGCTTCTTTCGGCGATTTTCTCAGGGAACTAGAGGCGGAGAGGTTTGCCGGAGAAGCAGCAGCAAAGGCAGCCGAGGAAGAGGAAGAGTCTCGCAGGAGATGTCGGAAGTGGAGACCGTCGTTGGAGAGAATTACTGAATGGTCTGAAGAAACACTATAGTAATCACTTTTAAATCCTTTTAGATAATTAATTAAGGTTTTATTTAAGTTTCTTTTCCTAAGATAGGATTTTTTGTGGGGGAGTTTGCATTCGCTTGTTTTTTACCTCTCTTTTTTTCCGATGGATTTTTTCCACCTGAGAAATGTTTTGTTCTCAAGGTGAGATATCTTCGGTGTTTGAAACTGGCAAATGCTTATTTACCCCATAGAAAATCCAAAAAAAAAAAAGGAAGTTATGTATTGCATTTTCTTCTCTCATATGTATAAGGTTCAGTGTGTAAAAGTGTCAAACATAAATAAACTAAGTTTAGTATACATCAGTTGCGTTTTTTTTTTTTTTGCTAAAAGATTTACATCAGTTGTGTTGCTTTATATATAAGTTTGTTGTTATATAATCACCAATTTCTCATTAAGCTTACACCCTTAACCAATGTGATTATAAAGACTTTCTCTATATGTCATGAAGAAGTACATAGATGTAGGGCTGGGCATTTTATTCGTTAAATTTGATTCGATTCGTTATTCGTTTCGATTCGATCCGAAAATTCTGGATATCCGTAAACTTTCGAATCAAAGCAAATACTAAAAATCAATATCCGTTAAAATCGAAGCAAATCACAAATATTAAAATTTTGGGAAGCGGATATCCGATCCGATCCGGAAATATATAAATACATGTATATTTAGATTATATTAAAATTTAAATGTAGAAAATTATTATTATAGCTTATGATTTGACTAATTATATTCACATTATTACTTATATAAAAGTATTAGATAAAACGAAGAGAAAATTATGAAAATTATAAAAAAATATTAAGTTTTGTGTTATTATTATTGTTAACTTAAACTTAAAAATTATAAAATATGTAAATTCACTGCTTCTTTACTTTTTATTTTATATATCGTGCAAAAAAATATTTTACAAAAGAAATTTATATCAATTTTTTAAGATTATTTGTAACGGATGAGATATTCGTAAATATCCGCAAATATCTATTTATTTTTCGGATATCCGTTTTTCCGGATATCCGTATTTTTTCGAAGCAAAGCAAATACCAAAATCAGATATCCGTAACATACGAAGCAAATCACAAATACCTTCGAAAACCCGGATATCCGATCCGTGCCCACCCCTACATAGATGTATAATGTATTGAAATCTAACTTGATACAGTTTGTGCTTCAAACAAGTGTATCAATACTAAACAATGATGATACGTCCTTGGCGGTCTCGTTTATTCAATGCTACATTCTGCTTTTCTTTGAGAGCTACCACAGAACGAACAACGGATAAATAACTGTTGTAAAAGTGATTGATACGTACATCTTAAAACTACTATCATAAAATGTTAATCTACCTGCAAACATTAAACTGCAGCTAAAATGAGCGAGATCTGTCATGTCTCACTGGACACGTGAAAAAGTAGATGACATTAATTTTAATCGCTATTTAAAGAGTGTAAAATTGTTAATCAAGGTATATATATATTTTATTAATCTAACAATTTCATATTCGAGGATTTATCGCTTTTTGCTGCGAAACTTAAATTACCTAAAATATTCAGGTTGATTTAATAGTCTTTTCTCGCTTGCTTATACTACCAAAATAGATACGTTACCTAAAATATTCAAGCTGAATTACGTTAGCATTTATTTATCAGATGATATATTTCATAATTGAATATTCAAATCTTTCCATTCATACTTAGAACAGTATCACTTATGACACAACAATACAAATATTCCCCAAACCTTTTTTTTTGAGAAAAGGTAGATATATATTTAACCTAACACTACAAAACTTTGGTAAATAAACCCGAAATTAAGTACTAAAAACTATTCCATCTTGGATAATCAGCAGCCATTTTCCTGTCGTTCTTTATTACAAGCAGTGGCGGACCTAGGAAACAATTAAATAGGTGTCAAAAATTAATCAATAACAAAAACTGGTGTCAATGGGAGTTGAACCCTGGTTTTTAGGGGTGTCACTAAGCAACTTTTACCATTAGTCCTACTGATTCCTTCTTGTTTCACCATACATTTCACAAAATTTATAGATTTAAGGGGTGTCACATGACACCCCATTCTACTGAATAGATCCGCCACTGATTACAAGCAACCATAACCACAGAGACTTGAAGCTGATGAACCGGGACGTGTGTTATCTGGTCCACCACATGCTCGAAATCCAAAACACTATCGTTTTTGCATTTCCCTAGTAGCCTTTGAGCTTCATGCTTTGTCATCTTGATCTTAATCCTCACAACCTCCTCCTTTCTTTTAACTATATTTAAACCCTCTTTCTCCTCCAGCGGCTTCTCCTCTGGTTCAAGTTCTTGATCAAGATCGAACTTCACCGGCTTCTTCGGCTCGATGATTTTATTATTCTCTAACTGAAACCTCACAACCTTACGTGGCTTTTGACCTTCTTTCTTGTCCAGTGGATTTGCCATCTCTTCCTCTTCCTCTTCGAACCTCAGGGATTTGTCAATCCTCTTGGCTCTCTCCAAGCAACGAGACTTCTTGGTGGGTTCTACTGAAACCTCTGATGCATTGAGAGGCAACGTTATGTCTAAGTCGTCTCTGTAAATTGTTTTTGCTTCTAGAACGCTCTCGCATCTTTCTTGAAGTCCGTTGAAACATCTAGATAGAGTATCCATCATTCTTTTTCTTCTTCTTATCTATTGACACAGGGAGAGAAAGTTTTAATGTTATCTTCTTGTCTTTGTGGGATTTTAAGTCTGTTGTTGTGTATACTCGATGAATGAGAGACGAGAGTTTATATAGGCGACCAAGAGTATGCTTTGATTAACTAGACACGTATAGTGGAGTGTACTTCGGGGTAAAGAAGATGATGTCACTTGTGGGGTATTAGAATTTGTTTTGTTTTATTATGGAAAAAGTGTAAGAAGCATATTTTACTTATCAATACAAACCCCTTTGACAGGTTCATTAGTTCACTGTCGATGTTGAGTACGAGAAGTTTCAAGTTTAATTGAAGATAACTGATTAAATTTAAAGAGGTTAATCGTAAACAAAATAGAGATGGTTAATTGTTAATACCAATCCTATGAAGTATCACAACATGTGTGTTAGTAATGTGTGTGTATATTTATGTCTCTGTTAAAAGAGTCATGATCTAATGGAATTAAGGTAAAGGAAGCAAACGTACCATCATCGAAACAGTTTTTTGATGAATACAATGTGACATTCATTAAAAAAAAATATCAGCACTAATCAGTCAAAAGCTTTACCATGACTTTAAACTTCTCTCTTAATGCGTTTGAAAATGATTTGTCACATTTATCCGATTTTAAATCATTATCTATCAGAAAGATCATCATCAACCAGTAGTTCTAATTACATATATTTCCACACACAAAAATGATGGCGTGCCACTAGGGGCACTATATAGTCTATATGACATGGTCAATTACTGCATTTTGAATTAGTCTAACTAATAGAAGAAAAAAAACTTAGTAACACTACTCTAATATTTCTAGTTCAATAATACACACACAGCTAACAAAACCCAGCTAACAAAACCACCAAGTATGAACACATGTGTTCGTCACAGATTCTTAACGTAATTAAATCAAATATTTTAATAGCCGATTACGATGTCCTGATAAGTATAATCGCATATGAAATGAAAATATGTTAATAATAGACCGTCGACTAAAAGCATCACCAGCAAAACATATTGAGAATATTTTAGAAAGTATTTTACAATATGGAGTTTTATACATAGAACCGTAGTATAGAAGAAAAGAAACAAAAGGTGTTTAATTTAGATAACGCGTTGAAAGCTTGCCAGAATTTTGGCACTTGACTAAGTCCTGATTCTATCTTTTTCCCATCACACTCATATTCTAAATTTCTAATGTCCCACTACATATAACAAAATAAATATTTATTTTAGGAAAAGCATAACACTATTTACCCAAAATACAAATCTTATTAATGTTAGTCTAAGGTATAAAGAAACACTAAAAAGATTTATTTTCAATATCTAAGAACATCCTTAAGTGATGAGCTTCTTTCATGGTTTCTTACATATATATTTATAATATAGCTAAGTTAAATAAATGAAAATTTGAATACTAAGAGCTGGACCAATTATTATATGACATATAGTCAAATAAGTCTTAATTTTATACTAAAGTTTGTTTAATGAAGAGTTATTCCAATAGTTTCTTAACACATAAATTAAATAAATAAAATTAAATAATAACAGAACGAGGTAATATTGTATCATTTATTGTCTTGCACGGATATATAATTTATATAGATTTTGTTTTGATGTATTCGAATTTTATAATATCCAAAAAACTAATGTAGCCGAGATATGTTCGGATATTTGTACAAAAAAAATAATTTTAACTGATTCGATTAAGTTATTTTGAATCCAAACTAAAAATAACTAAATAACCAAAAATAACTATATTACTCGATTTGATTCATATTCAATTCTGATATATATAGGACTTAAAATTATACAATATATGATGACATAGATAATATATAATTTTAATTATAAAAATTTATATTAGTTTATAAAAAATATAAAATTTAATACATGCATAGACGTACGGGTCAATCTCTCTAATTTTATTTTTTCTCTGAGAGATTAGGTTAGAGCTCACTGAAAATGCTCTAAATTATCTATTCTGTGATCTGGTCCTCCTAATTTTCATAAATGAACAAGCTACGTAAACACTTACTGGAAGCGCTTTCCAAATACAAAACCCGAAAACATCGAAATATAAAAAAAAAAACTACAAGGATTGCAAACAAAAAAAAAACACTACAAGGGCTTCTAAATGGGCAGTATGGTTAGGTAGATGGGCCTAAGAATCGTAAAAGGCCCAGTGTTGTAGAAACTTTGAAAACAAAATCCCAAGGTTCAAAAAAGAAACATAGAAACTTGTCAAGTCTGCCGTCAACTTTCTCCCCTAGTTGGAACGGACGAGAACAGAGAACGAAAGAGATGAACGTAGTAGTTCACGGTTTGAAGAGGATTCCTCGCATCAATTTCCCTCAGCGTCATCTAAAACATTCAGGTTTTTTGATCCATACTCTATGCAGAATCCAACTCCTTGTTCGTTTTAACAAGTTTCATGATTCTGTATGTGTACGGCGTGTTTCATCGCCATGAATAAAATATAAAATGCTTTGATTTTAATGTTACCTGATTCCTTTGATTTGCAACACTTGTAGATTTTTAGAATCAAAGGATATAGAACGTATCAAGGAAGAATATAGTTTCGTCTAGCATTGGATACAAAATCACATTAGATTTAAGATTGGAATCATATCTTTGAATCATTGTACAAGTTCTTTTGTTTAATCTGTAGTATTAAAATTGTATTTGATTACTCGCAATATACATGGAATATGTTAGCATTGAAAGTTTTTAACCTTTTTGGAGATTACAGAGGGCAGCACAAAGCAGGTGGAGAATGAAGCTGATACCTTTTTCTTCTCTAAACTCAACACCCCTACTAAGAAATGGAAGCCATTCTCGTAAGTAACTTTTCTGGATAATGATTTAACACTTTAAATTTAACCTTTTCAGAAGGTTTAGTTTTCTGCACCATTTCTATGTCTATGGACTTAAAAAAAAAACATTGAACTCTTAAGTTTGTTTTTCCTTTATGTGCTTGTTTTTTTTTTTCCGGTATCTAACTTCTCCTTTTTCTGCAAAAACTTCACAGTTGGGAGGCAGCATCTGATCATTTCAACATCATCTAGTGACGAGAAACGGTGGACCAAGATTTGATTTCTACAGAAACTGATGTGAATGGCACCAATAAAACAACTACTCCATTGCAGTCTTAATTGATTTTACTTATATACTGATTCACCATTGATTGAGTGCATTTCTAATCCCTATTAATGCTTTTATGGTTTTGAAACTCATCATTTATTCTTTCTTTTTTACATCACGTGATGAAGTTTTACTACAACAAGTCAGGGTTCCTGTAGCCTAATAAACACAAAGGTACTCACAGGAAAGCAAAAGAGATCTCTCTTATGGTGATGTTGTCTCCTTTTGCATCTCTTCAATAAGAGGCTCAAGAACACAAGACTTGGGATTCTTACCAGGTGGACCTTTCTCTCTTCTCTCAAGCTCTTCAAGCCTGAACGTAATCAGACGGTCCCAGTTCCCTCCTTCAAACAACACACCAGCTTTCCCATCCGTGATCCTCTGTACTATCCCACAGTACATGTGATACGGACTGTTCTTGTTCTTGACTATAGCGATCATCCCCGGCATTAGAAGTGGTAGCTCCGGAGCTTTAGGCTTCTTCTCCGTCACAACAGCTGATACAACATCGCTTTCTTGCTTCTTTGGTGGTGGTGGGTTTTGTTCAATGAACGTTTTGAGTCCCTTTTCGCCACCGGGGAAGCCTCCAGTGAGACCCATCATCTCTTTCTCGAAACCGTCTTCAGGTACTTTAAATGATAAGTTGCTGTTGTTGTTGTCATCGCTCTCTTTCTCTTTCTCTGTCTTGTCCTCAGTGTTTGATGTCTCTTGTTGTACTTCATCGATGTTTCTGTTGAGCTCTTTCTCGATGCCTTTCTCTCCGTTGCATAGTCCTCTTCCTCCCATCACTTCCCATAGGTTGAACTTACCCATGGCCTTTACTTGATGAACGTTTGGTTGTTGCTGTTTCTTGAAAACTGATCGGTTTGGAGTTGAAAAGAGATTGGTTTGGCCGAGAAACTTGGTTCCCTGAATTATGGTTGGTATAGTGAACGAAGAAGTCGTCATTAAGAAAAAGAAATTCACTGAAGAAAAGTTTTGAGGTAGGGAAAGGTAGGAAGAAGAAAGGCTTTGCTATTCTATAATAACCACATATCATGATTTCAGTTAGATGAGATGTATCTATTTCCACTTGTCAGACTTGTTCCGGTTTATTCATAACCGGATTGTTTGTATCCGTGTTAAAAAAAAATTGTTTGTATCTGTTACATTGGGGATTTCATGCAAGTTCAAATGGACCTAGTTCATTATAATGGGCCTTAATTACAAATTGCTAAGTATTTATTTTTGTTTTTGTTTATTAAAAGGGCTTCAAGACAGGATTACAAGAGAAAGCATCTATTCGGTCAACGACATTAATAATTGGCATCCCATTCTCCAAAATCATCATTAGACCAACCAACTTTTGTCTTGGGCTGTTCCATTACATTTCACCAAATGCTTTGTTGGCAAAGATTCGATATCTAAAAGCACAAAGATTAAATCAAGTTTTAGAAACATTAGTTTACTTGATTAACTACCTAATTTATCCGAAGACTTAAATCATTAACAAAAGAGGTTTATTTAGTCTCAAAATTAATGTAGAATGTGCAACAAATGCCCCCATGTGGGTATTAGCTTGCCGGAGTAACCTAAGGGTATAAATGTCTTTTCACGCTAAAGTTTTGAAGTGTGTTTAATGTTTAAACCCAAACTTCATCCAAACCCAATAAAAAAAAAAAAATTGGGTCAAAAAAACACTTTACCCTCAAGAGCAGAAAAAACACAACAGATTCGTGTTTCAACCTCTCCTTTCGAATCAGGTATATTGCAAGTTCTATCGATCTTCTGTTATGTTTCATTCTCCGAAGATGTGTTTGTGTATGTGGTTAGGGTTTTTTATTTGCTTATTTCTAGAAAATCATTCTCTAGATTTTATTAGAGACCTTATGAATATCAGAAAGTAGAATTAAAAAGAGTTCCTTTTCATCTTTCTTCGTTTTCTTTTTTTCCGGTTGTTTGGTTTTGTATTGAAGATAGAGTATTTGATCCTCACTGAAGAATAAGAAACTCAAGTTGATTAGATTCCTTTCTTTGTGATTATACTTGTAGATTAGATCTAATGAATAACAAAAAAAAGCTTCAAGACATAGATCTAAGACAGGTCTTCATGGCATACTAATTTGTTAATACACAAATGTACTTTTTTTTTTTAAATGTTGTGACATCTTCTTTTGAATGCAGAGTCTCTTGGTACACTTTAATTCATTTTTCTTGTGGAATCTTGTTAGAAGCTAAGAGTTTCAGAAGATTCATGGATGATAGTACTCCTAGGAAATTAAAGATATTACCTGATCACTTTACTCTTCCTACTCCCACCACCACAGAAGCTTCTCAAGACCATTCCTCTTCTTCTCCATCAACTTCACACCCCAAAGAAGATAACATTTCTTTAAGGTAGCTTTGTCAAATATGCTAGCAAAGATGGAAACTTTGAGCTGACATCTTTTTGTTTAGAGCAGGTCTCATAGTCAAGGCCAGTCCAGTACTCGCAGAAAACTTAAAAGAGCAGCACTAATGTTGAATCTCTTCTCTCTTCGCCGTCTTCCTTGGGTTTCAGATGGTCAAGAAAAGGTTCCACTGCACACCTTTCTTCCTTGCTTTTTTATTTCATGAAGATTGTTTCTAATCATCATACTTATTGGGCAGGTAGAGCTATCAGCAGCAGAGTTAGAGTCACTTAGATCTGAACTTTCTGACTTAGAAGAAAGAGAATCTTACCTCAAAGCACAGTAAGTGTTTGAGTTAATAAAATACTATTATTGTTACCTATCTTACTTTCTTCCTGTTTTTGTCTTCTCCTTACATAAGGTTGGAACATGTGGATGAAGTCTTGCGTTCTGCTCGTTTATCTGGCTATCTCTTTATCCGAAGTGTACAGGCTCTTACCTTACTCCATTGATCCATGAGACTCACTGTATATTCTTATTAACAATCTCACATCTTTTTGTTTGTTTGTTTTAACATCAGCGTTGGGAAGCTCTACCTGGTGAACCACCTCCACTAGACGATGCAGAAGTAGATGACTGGCTTCCTAGATTCGTCGTCCTTCAAGGACCTTGTCTCTTCTTCTATTTATTATCAACTGGTAAGTTTATGTTTAATTTTTGTAACCATCTTGTTTTGGTTTTGTCTATTCTTGTTTGTAATGTTTTTTTTCTTGAAACTCTCTATTTGTAGATTTGAGTCCTCAAGATTCGACATTGCTAGCGGATATTGTTGAAGTTGGTTCGTTGCCAAGCTACACGAGAGAGTTTGATGAAACACATCACTGCTTTTATATCTTGACACGTCAAGGTCTAAGGTTTGAGTGCTCAAGCATTTCTAAAACACAGGTGAAACACCAAAATAGATTTAACATGTTACCACACTTGTTCCTTGTTGAGAGATCCTGCAATGTTTTTTAATGACGATTATTGCAGGTGGATTCGTGGTTGTCTGTGTTGCGACATGATTGCAGGTCTGAGCCAGAAGAAAGGTTACCAGATGGTTCAAGGGATGTGGAGTAAATTGAAGATTGTTTCACACTTTAACTGCTCTGTGATAGTAGTTTTCATTTTTTCTGTGTATATAGAATGCTTCTTTTAAGATGTAGTTAGGATTCACGTCATTGAAAAGTCTTTTACTGAACTATTGGTGATTATAACATCATATAACTTATTTGGCTTTGTTAGTTGGTGAATTGATGTGAGAAGAATAAGAACTTTGAAGTGGAGTCTCCAAAGTTGCCACCATAGGCTAGATCTAGCCAGAAGATTTTACTTACTAAGAAAACCACAAAGCTTTTATGGATTTATATATTCTTGTCAAAGCACTAATGCAATTCTTTGTGATATCTGGCTTGCTTTTGTAAAATGCATCTAAGAAAGAAATAAATATTGTTTGAATATTGGAGTTCCATTCGTTTGTTTATGTCACATATATATGCCGTGGACAATATCCATCTTGTGCAACAATTATCAAAATTGGGGGTGTAGCTCATATGGTAGAGCGCTCGCTTCGCATGCGAGAGGCACGGGGTTCGATTCCCCGCACCTCCAATCCCCTTTGTTATTCTATTTTATTTTCTTTTGTTCCTTTTCTATGCTATTGTCTTTAGTGGGCGCAGTTAATAAAGGGCTAAACTGCTCTTTTGTTTTTAGTTTGACGTAATCAACATTATCCACAGATGTGATTCAGTTTTTTTTTTTGTAGATGTCATGAAAGCTTTCTTACTGGTGACCCCAGAATTATATATCATACATTTCGTTATCATTGTGTACACTTGGTCATTCGTGTTACCGACATATATATTGTTTCTTGGCAGTGCTTCAAACCCAACTTATATCAAATAAACTTTGTCATCATTCAATTTGAAAAATGGTAGATCTGACTCCACGTGAATAATATCTGCTGTACTTTAACCAAATGAAAATTAACGCTCAAATAAAACAGGAATCGCATTAAACTTGATTAAAAATGTACATTTGAAACACCTTCACAATATGGATCGGCTACTGAGTCACTTCTTTCGTTCTTGACTTTTGCCTTTATTCGAGTTTTGTGTTCGAAAGATTGTACAATTTGACATTTACAAAATTTTTTTTTTTTGACAATTTGGAACGTCACTTAATTTGACCAGAGGTGCTGTGGAAGTGAGCCACATCATAGTAAAGGATCTCTATCAGAGCAATTGTTGGTGGTAGCTAGAGTTATATTAACAAAGAACAATCAACAAAACAGTTATCCGTCAAATGTATCCTGACCCAATAAGAAAAAGACGTATCCATATGTTCTAGCGAGATTACCTGCTGTTGTCTTCCATGTTATATCATCAAACTTTGATTCATTTAACAAATATTATAATCAGGTTAGTTTATTTTCATATATAAAGGTTTCAACATAAATTAAGTTTACATATATACCCTATGTGTTGATTTCATATTAAATTCACGAGAAATGTATGAGAAACATAACTGAAAAAACAGAAAACGGTGTTAAAGAAATATTATACATTCCGTGGATGACTAAAGTCACGGAAAGTCCTTGATGGAGTTGATGTCAACGGTGCCACCGATCTATATGTTTTTTATTATAAATAGAAGACTTGTATTTGCTTATTAATAATCCAATGTGCCCAAATCTTCCAAGAATGCGTCCAGCCATCCACTAGTGTGTGTTTTTTTGGGAGGTCAAATGTATTTTCTTGATATTTTAAAGAGGTCTTTTGTTATATATTACGGTTCCATTAGTATGTTGCCACTTCTTTACGAAATTGTAAACTAGTTTTGTGGTCTGTTTTTGCAGCATCTATGTGCAAAGAGAAAGCTTGATTCACATAGCGTTAAAGTAGAGAGATTTAATTTAACTTCAGTTATACCTAAAGTAGAAAGTAGAAACAATCCTTGAATGCTTAACCTATAGTACCCAAATCTCGTGACCCCGTTTTTTCTGGTAAATATACCTTGAAAAACAACCACGAATTATCTCTAATCAATTAATTTGGAAACTAAATTAAAAATACATCCGAATTAATTTGGAAAGATATTCGCATAATCTAAAATAAAATCTACCCTCCGGGTAAACTATTAAATGTATCAAATCTAAATAAAAACATCCTCCTCGTTACATCCAAATTTATATCCATTAAACTTGTATCGACGAATAAATTACATTTATTTCCAAATAAAAATAAACATTTCCATTAACAATATAACGTCAAAGGGTAATCCATTCAATTCAAACAATCCGGTATATTCGCACCGATATCAAATTCTGTCACGTGTCACATTTCTATAAGAATTAAGAATCTTTAAGTAAATATACAGTCAAAACTCAAAATATCTCTCCATCACCGCTTCTATAAAACCCCTTTTGCTTCTCCATCCCAATAAACAAACGCTCTCACAAATTTTCATATAACTTGCCTGAATTAATATCATTTATTTCAGTTAACGATGTCACAGAATATTCTGGTCACCGGAGGCTCAGGTTACATCGGAAGTCATACTGTGCTTCAACTGCTTAACGGTGGTTACTCCGTCGTAGTTGTTGACAATCTTGACAACTCCTCCGCTGCTTCTCTCCAGCGCGTTAAGAAACTCGCCGGAGGAAACGGTGAACGACTCTCCTTCCATCAGGTTTCTTTCGACCCCGTTTTTTTTTGCGTGTTAGGTTTTTAGGAGACGTGTTCATCAAGAATTGTTTTAATAAGAGTTTTGTGAAAACAGGTCATTTTTCGATGATAGTGTGTGATTCCAGGGTTCTAGTTAACTTTTTCGCTACACCATGTGGCTAATCTTTCTGTGTTTATTATACATAAAAGTTCAGAATAAAGCATCAATCCCATGTGAAACCGTATATTTTAATATTGTATGATCCCAAGTTCTATAATTTTTTTCTCAAAAAAGAAGTTACATATTTTTTTATATATTTTGATATCTGTGGAACATATTTTATTATGCTTTTGATACCTAAAGTATTAATTAAATTTAACCCTGCCATTTCTGAAATTAGAATGTCTTTGGGTCAGTTTAGTTTCTTACAACTCTTGTTTTGTTTTCTTACCTGTAGGTGGATCTAAGAGACAGGCCAGCGCTTGAGAAGATTTTTTCAGAAACTAAGTATGGTTGAAAATAATAATACCTTTTTTTATGAATCTTTAAGACTACAAATGATTAGTATGTTCATATAATTGGTTTGATGGAATTATTATTAACAGGTTTGATGCAGTGATACACTTTGCTGGACTTAAAGCAGTAGGTGAGAGTGTGGAGAAACCTTTGCTTTATTATAACAATAACATTGTTGGCACCATTACTCTTTTGGAGGTTATGGCTCAATACGGTTGCAAAAATGTAAATCATTTTTCCTCTCCACCACACTTATTCCTTTTTTAATTTTGTCTTTGTTTGATCTCATGATTAGTTTTTGCTACTCTGTTTTCCAGCTTGTGTTTTCATCTTCAGCTACTGTCTATGGCTGGCCAGAACAGGTTCCTTGCACTGAGGAGTCCCCAATTTCTGCAACCAACCCATATGGCCGTACTAAGGTTGTTACCTTAACTTGAAAAATTTCACTAAAGTCTGAAAATATATAATTTTTATAACTATATATATATATATATATATATATATATATATATATATATTTCACCAAAGCCAAGCTTTGTGATAATCAGGAAAGTGAATTTGGCTGAGGTCTTTTTGGTTGTTATTGTTGTGTAGCTTTTTATTGAAGAGATTTGCCGGGATGTGCATGGCTCGGACCCTGAATGGAAGATCATATTGCTTAGATACTTCAACCCTGTTGGTGCACATCCTAGTGGCTACATTGGTGAAGATCCTCTTGGTATTCCAAACAATCTCATGCCTTATATCCAACAAGTTGCAGTTGGCCGGAGACCTCACCTCACCGTCTTTGGAACTGACTACAAGACAAAGGATGGTACAGGGGTATGTGTGTATGTCTCTCGTAGACAATAATCGTTTGAGTGTTATTATTTTACAATCTCAGACTTAGTTGGAATTTCGGAGTATATGAGACAAATTAATGATCTATGTTTAAAATGATTTTCATATTTTTGTTTTCAGGTTAGAGATTATATTCATGTCATTGATTTAGCAGATGGACATATAGCAGCTCTTCGCAAGCTAGATGATCTCAAAATCAGTAAGGATTATCTTTAAACTCTTGTGTGTTTCTCCTCTCATTAATAATGATATGCCATTGAATCCAAGCTTAATTATTAGAAAATGTGGTCAGGTTGTGAGGTTTACAACCTTGGAACGGGTAATGGAACATCGGTTTTAGAAATGGTCGGTGCCTTTGAGAAGGCATCCGGAAAGGTAAAACATTGATTGGTCTAATATAACAAATTAACAATGCTCTAACCAAAGGAGCTGTTTATTAGCCTTTAAAACCGATTATTGGTTTAATCCTTTTGATTATATCCGATCAGAAAATCCCGTTGGTGATGGCCGGACGACGTCCTGGAGACGCTGAGATTGTTTACGCCTCAACAGAGAAGGCAGAACGCGAGCTAAATTGGAAGTGAGTTCATTTTATTCTGTAAACAGTGTAGATGGTATATACTAAAATAAAAATACACACTCAACATTCGAATCTAATTATCAATTATGTTTGTTTGGTATGGTATGAATGCAGGGCTAAGTATGGGATCGAAGAGATGTGTAGGGATCTATGGAACTGGGCCAGCAATAATCCTTACGGCTACGACTCCTCCAATGCCTCTTCTTAACTCGTTTTTTCTTCTTGCATTATTTATTCTTATAAACATATGAAAAATGCTGATGAAGAACCTCAAATTTTAGAAACAAGTTGGGGATATCCGTGTATCACTAATTTTTATCATTGGCAACTCTTTAGTATTTAAATCTCATTCTTTCATTTACTAAGTATTTTCAGTCCCTGTAATTTATCTTCATTTTTCCAGTTCTACAAGTTCTGTTACTGTAGACATGTAACTGAAGGATGAATCTCATTACATCTTATTGAATAATTGACACATTCATTTTCTTTTAATTGGTCCAATTTGGACTCAAATTCATTCTCGTTTCAAGTTGCAAGTCAAAGTAACAAATTCTAAAAGTACAATCTCATATAAGTCAAACTAGCAAATTCTTAATGTACAATCTCATGTAAGGTAGCAAATTCTGAAAGTACAATTCCTCATCTAACATTTTTAAGTACATAATAATCTATGTATATATATTTGCAACTTTCTAACTTCAGGATTCAGAAAAGAACCCAAGGAGAGTTTTAACATGTGTTTCTGAAACACAAAACACTTTACAATTCATGTTTTGTTTACAACAAAAAGGCTAGTATTAACAACGGACGGCTACAATCGACCCATGAAGAGAAGAAATTGCGATCTTGCAACTCGATTTTGCCACGGTCTGATACGTGAACAAACCAAGAACTCGAACCCGTCCACTATCTCCACCGTAGACCCGCTCAGGCTCGTCTCTAGGAGTGTGTCCAAGGTACATTTGTATTGGATCTCGAAAAATTTAGACGGTTTAAGATATAATATAGGTCCGTGTTTATAATTTAGAACCCGTTTTTTTATTTAAGACCCTTTTTCAAATTGTTTTGTACCGTGTGAAAGACTTTTTAACAACGATGGAGGCCTATTTTATAGTCGAACCACTGGCAAATACAAAGGCAAACGGGAACGGGAAAAATAACATATAATAATACAATTTGGAGGATTCAAGTTGTGATAACAGTCAGCGACAACAAGACAAAACTCATCATATTAAGAAAGTAACTAATTGGCTAAACAATTACATTGTAAAACCAAAATAAACTATTAGCAGAAAGACTTTCTTACTTTTAGACGTGGTGAGAGAGGTCACAGTAACATATTTTTCATACTGAAAAAATACCTGTTCTGTTTGACCAAAAAGGAAAGACGTTTTAGCCTATGTTCACCAAGAGTTGACCAGGAACAATTTTATGATACCTTTAAAACCTAAAATATTAATTAGATTTGAGCCTGCCATTTCTGAAATTAGAATATCTTGGGGTTAGTTTAGTTTCTTAAAACTGTTGTTCTTTTTTCTTGCATGCAGGTGGATCTCCGAGACAAGCCTGCGCTTGGGAAATTTTTTACAAAATAAGCTTCCGAGTGATATCGCCTGGATTATTTTCCTAGTTATAATAATAACATTTTTGGCACCATTACTCTTTTGGAGGTGATTGCTTAATATGGCTGCAAAAAATGTAAGTCATTCTTCGTTTCTACACATTTATTCCCTTTTGCTTTTGTCTTTGTTTGATCTCATGATTACCTTTTGCTACTCTGTTTTCCAGCTTGTGTTTTCATCTTCAGCTACTGTCTATGGCTGGCCAGAACAGGTTCCTTGCACGGAGGCATCCCCAATTTCTGCAACCAACCCATATGGCCGTACTAAGGTAGTACTTTAAGTATTTCACCTGAGCCCACCTTTGTGGTAGTAATCTTGTTCGAACACTACAAGATTAACTATCACAAATTTTCAACTCTCCACCTTTGTTTTCCAGAATTAACACTACCTCTTTCTCTCGATAGCCTATCAATTCATCAGAATCAACATTATCTTAGTTCAGTTCATGAGTAATATTATTATCACTACCTCACACTCATTGAATAAAAAGAACACACATGTACTATATAATACTTTGTAAATGTTACTTTTTTACCAGAGATCAATATTTGATTTGGATTTTTATATAAATCAAACTTAGGAGGGAGGGAGACACAAACACACACAAAAATTAAGAGCTCAGTCACATGGCAAGCACATCTGAGATTGATCAGAATAATACGATGGACCCAACCAACGCTAAAGCCAATATCATCACAGCTCAACTACAACAAATCATGCACCAGCTGGTAATCGAATCCGGGTCTGTACTGTGGCAGGGTACTATTCTACCACTAGACCACTGGTGCTTTGATGAAGAAAACAAGACAACTACATTTTATAGCCAGAGCAACATACGGAGGGAGGACTACATTTTATTAGCAGAAAGACTTTCTTACTTTTAGATGTGAGTGAGAGGTTACAGTAACGCATCTTTCATACTTAAAAATAACATCTTCTGTTTCTGTTCTGGGCTTTTCCAAATCATTGTTATCATTCTCTTTCTTTTCTTCTGGACAAGGAACATATTTTGGATCTCAGGATCTCGATTACCTGTTAATGAAATACTGAGCTAAAGCCCTTCCTTTTGTATGAATAAGAACATTGTTGCAATCGCGTCTTAACCTTCTTCAATTTTCTGTGTTACTTCAGTTTTTTTTTTTTTTNTTTTTTTTTTTTTTGATTTCAAGTTTGGTATACATTTGTTTCAGTCTGTGTAAGGTTTAACATAATAATTTATTGTTGACCCAAAAACATAACATGTGATGGATAAAAAGTCAAACATGAAATTTAATTAGTTGAACCCTAAATGAATTCCAGCGAGTTTCTTCTCTTTAACCACTCTTCGGATGTCAATGCTTCATAGTGATATCAAATTATTATTCTTTGACCGTCATTGTAACATTTTTTATTTTCAATCTCTGAAATTTCGGATTGTTACTTAGTCAAAAGATAGAAACAGAAATGAGTCAAATACTTTTCTTAAATTGCTAACAATAGAATGAACCGTAAGTTGTTAAAATATATAAGAACTAGTGGTTGGCCTTGCCTTACAGACGGGTGAATTTACATTAAAACTATAACCTGATCGGTTTACGTAATTTAACTAAATATCTTAAATATAGTGTAACTATTAATAATCTGAAAATTAAAATAAACCAAACTGGATAAAAACGTAATTTGGAAAAAAATCTTTTTCAAAGACTGAAACCAAAAGAAAAAACCCAATCCTTTAATCTTTTCAGTATTGACTGTATTGAATGAATATATAATTTTTTTTATGACGAAGAAATACAAAGATAAATATCTTAGTATGAATGTATATAATTTCTATCTAATTAAATATCGTATTCTCAATTTTCACTTAGTAACAATGATACATTTTAACGCGTATACACTTACATAATTAAATGGAACAAAACAATCATAAATATTTTAGGCTTTATATTCCGGCCCAACAATTATTCACTTTCCGTTCTTCATGTTTCAAGCATGTTACAGATTTGAGATCCTGGCAGTGGAATCCTTAAGTAATATGCGCCTGATGAATATTATTCTTGAATCTTCTTGTATTGAAGCTAGAGAGATTTGGCCCAACAATTATTCACTTTCCCTTCTTCATGTTTCAAGCATGTTACAGATTTGAGAACCTGGCAGTGGAATCCTTAAGTAATATGCGCCTGATGAATATTATTCTTGAATCTTCTTGCATTGAAGCTAGAGAGATTTGGCCCAACAATTATTCACTTTCCCTTCTTCATGTTTCAAGCATGTTACAGATTTGAGATCCTGTCAGTGAAATCCTTAAGTAATATGCCCTGATGAATATTATTCTTGAATCTTCTTGCATTGAAGCTAGAGAGATTTTGTTGCATTCGGAGCATTTCCTAGAACTGCAGGATCTAAGTTTTAGTATCACCAATCTCCTCCTAAAACTGAGTTCTTGGTCCATTAATTATGTTATAGCTCCCTGGAACATTTTAGCTTTGTCAGTGGTAGAAAATGTCATCCTCTATCACCACATTTAGTCCTGCGTCTATTTTTAATAAAGATTTGGAGTGCTCTGACTTCGTTGAGCTTGGAAATAAAAATAAAAAGGAAAAATTTTTCTCAACTACATGAATTCTACTCTAATATGGTTAAAATAATTCAATTTATGAAAATGTGTCAACAGATACACCAAATTTATGTTAATACATGCCACATATACAAAGTAAATGATTATATGGTGGAAACATCACAATCGAGTTTAATTGATTTTAATTTAAGTTAATAGGGTCAATTTGTAATTTACTAAACTTAACCCCAAGTCATTAAAAATAGATTAAGTTTATTAATAAAATCAATTAATAAAAATCAAGTTTATTAATAAACTTATTTATTAACAGAATCAAGTTTGTTAAATTTAATAAATTATTAAGTTTATTAAATTTAATAAATTATTAATTTTATTAAGTTTATTAATTTAATAAATTATTAGCTTTATTAAATTTAACAAATTATTAAATTTATTAAATTTTTTTTTAAAAAACGTAATAAATTTATAATTTTAATAATTCAATCATTTTAATAAATATATTAAGTTTAATAAACTTATTATGTTTAATAAATTATTAATTCTATTAAGTTTAATATATTATTAATTTTATTAAGTTTATTGAACTATTAAGTATATTATTAAAATTGGAAAAATTATTAAGGTTATTAAGTTTATTAAGTTAATTTAATTATTAAGTTTAAACTTAATAATTTAATAAAATTTAATAATTTTATTAAACTTTATTAAATTTATTAAACTAATTAACCTTAATAAATTTAATAATATATTAAATTTATTAAACTAATTAACCTTATTAAACTTAATAATATCTTAAACTTAATAAATTTATATAAATGAATGAATTATTAAACTTATAAATTTATTAAACTTAATAAAATTAATTTAATACACTTAATAATTTATTAAATTTAATAAACCTAATAATTTATTAAAATACCGAATGGATCTAATTTTATGATATAAATTACATAATAAAGATAAAAATGAATCTGAACCTGACCCAAATACCGAATNACTTAATAAATTTATATAAATGAATGAATTATTAAACTTATAAATTTATTAAACTTAATAAAATTAATTTAATACACTTAATAATTTATTAAATTTAATAAACCTAATAATTTATTAAAATACCGAATGGATCTAATTTTATGATATAAATTACATAATAAAGATAAAAATGAATCTGAACCTGACCCAAATACCGAATGGATCTTATTTTATGATATGTCTGGTTATCGGTATTATCCGGATCGAGCCGAACCTAAATGGATATACGATAGAACTCAAAAAATTGAAAATCTCAAAAAGAAACTTGTACCAAACATGATATCAATTCCTAATATGTATTCTAAATACTTTAAGATATTATTGAATATTTAAAATAATTATTTATTACATGGAGGTTAATGGTTGAAAGTGGCGGTTAAAACTTTAAGTTTTTAGATTTTGGTTTTGTTTTCCTTGAATAATGTTACCCATTTCATGAGAACTTGGTTTTCGTTTTATACTTTAATTTATTTGGTTTTCTTTCTACTAATAACAATGTTTTCCTTTTATTTGATTTTGAATGATGATATTTGATGTTCATTGCTTATTTTTAAATCAATTTACTTATGTTTTGGTTATAATATAGATAAAAAATCAAGTACTTTAAATTTGAAGAACCAATCTATACTATTATTTGCGAAGTGATTTTTCGCAACGGATCTCTCACGTTAAAAGTTAGAGTGATTAATATCGATTATACCCTTAATGATTAAAATATATAAATTAGCCAAAAATAAAAACTAATTTAATACTTATTTGATTAGATAAATGATTTAAATTATAATAATGATAAGAATTATCCATAATCTAAATATATATTTAAAAGAAAAAGATAATTCTTATATATATATTGTGTTGTTATCCGAAAAATATATTTAATTAAAAAAATTCAAAAAAAAACATAAATAAATATTCATAAAATAAAATTTTTAATTCTATATAATTCAAAAGAGAAAATTGAAAAAATATAATACAAAATTATTTATTAAAAGAATATAATAATATAATGATATATGTATATATTTGTGAAGTTATTTTTCTGAACTCACACGTTAAATTAAATTTATATTTATATTTTATATAGTTAAACCTTAAACATGAATTAATCATATAAAATACAAGATCATTAAAAAAAGAAAGAAAATACGTGTTTGATAAAAATAAATTCAAATATATTGTATTATTATCTAAACTAATATTATTCTTTTCGTACGGTTAATTTTTGAATGTATATTTATCGATTCAATTTTTCAAATGAAAAGATAGATTTCTATATTTTTATCAATTAAGAATAAATGAAATAGACTTTAGATTTTTCAAAGTTTTAGAGGAAAAAAATAGTTTTTTTTTAATTTGTGAATAACTTTATCATGTAAAAAGTTTAATGTTTTCGGTCAAATTTTTTGGATGCAAATTTTTTTTAATTGATTAAAAGATAATTAAGCCCGCATGTACGGGCAAAACACCTAGTTTTATTAATGTTTTGAGTACAAAGTAGGTATAAATCAGATATTTTTAAACCGAAGAACCGATTGGGACCCGAACCTGAAAATATAAAGGATTATACCGATTCTTTAAGATTTACTAACCCCGACTCGAATCCGATAGAACCCAAACTGAACTTTTATATAACCCAAATTAGGTTGATTTTTATAAATCCGAGAAATCGAGATCCGATTGGACAAAACTGAAACCCGATTGGGACCCGAATACCCATGTGTACCGAAAACTATTGAAAAAGATTAAAGTTTGTTAAAAATATCCAAATAAGTGTCTTTCTACATATTTCAAAACAAATATTGAAATATTTTAAAAAAGTAGTTCTACTATTTTAATACTTTAGAAATTATGAAGATATTATATTCTTATTTAGAATGTGGTGAAATTTTGAATTAATGAAAATCGTACGTTTTGATCTTTGCGGTATGCATAAATCTTATGTACATGTATCCATGATTATCTTTTCTAAAAATTAACAAAAAATTGATTTTCTGTGTAGAAGTTAAATATTTTTACTATATATACGTATGTCTTATGGACATGCATCAAATTAAGGTTTTTTTGTTTCATTAGATATAAACAAATAAATGATTACTGCCAAATTCAACAATTTTTGTTTATTTAAAAATAAAGCTGTAGGCTATTTAAAGATATGAAGTTATTATCTCTTAATATATTATCAAGTTTATTTGAAAGAGTGAAACCTAAAAATCTAATATATTCTCCCAAAATTGAAGGCTTCGCGGTTAAGATTTCTCTCAGATGGCTTCACCAACGTTATCCTTAGCCCAATCTCCTCCTCATTGCTGGTCCGAGCTTCCTCTAGATCTCATGCAACTGATCTTTGAACGCCTTAGCTTTACCGATTTCGAAAGGGCTAAATCGGTTTGTTCATCTTGGCTATGTGGTTCGAGACAATCTAAGCCAAACAATAAGATCCCCTGGATGATTATTTTCCCCGAGGAAAAGAATTACTGTCTCTTGTTCAATCCTGAAGATAAAGAAGAAAAGCTCTACAAAACTAAACATCTTGGTGACGACTTTGCAAAGAGTTCTTGTTTGGCGACTTGTAGAAGCTGGCTTTTGATGGAACCTAGTTATGCAAACAGGGAAGACCCTCTTTATATTTTAAACCTCTTAACCTGCGAGAGGATCAATCTACTACCTACAACATCGGATCAACGACTTGACTCTCCAGTATTGTGGATAGACGATAAAACCAAAGATTACCTTGTTATAGGAGAAGATCTTGTTTATTTCAAGAAAGGTAATAACTCGTGGAAACAAATCCCAGAACAGTTGTCACGTATCCGAGACGTTGTTTTCAAAGATCACCAACTCTTTTGTCTTACCAATGATGAACTCCATATTTTCGACTTTTCTGGTGAGTTTCCGCTACAAATTTCCAGAGTTAGCGTAAGGAAGGGATGCGTAAAACCAGTAAAAATAGGCGGCCGGATGAGACTGCCTCAAATTCCATGGCATGTCCAAGAGGTTCGTAGGAGGAAGAATGTAGTAGTCACTGTACGAGGAGATGTCTTAATGGTTAAGAGCAAAAGTCCTTTTATGTCCGAAACATGGAACTTTAAAATCTTCAAGATGGATTCATCAAATGGGTGGGAAAGAATATTTTCTTTGGGAGATGAGGCAATTATTTTAGATTTGGGTATTACAGTGGTGGCTAAGGACCAGGAAGGCGTCACTAGTAACTCCATTTACTTCACTGGTGATGAGATAAATTTGGACGACACTGAAATCTTTGTATTCAATCTTGATACAAACAAGGTTGAACAACTACCACAACTTGTTTCTTCCTCTGTTTCTTTCTCTACAGTTCGTTGGTTCTTACCAAGTTTCAGGAATCCTTGATCCTATCTATAGTGGTTTCTCTTCGTTGTTGTTTTTTTTTTTGAATTTAAATTTTAATAATAATAATTGGTAATATTTTCTTGGACTTCAAGCTTTCTTCTTTTTTTTTTTGAGCAAATTTCATTCTACTTCTCCCTTAGGAGAATCTGATGTCCCTGTCTTTTTATCGTCACTTGCACCAAGCTTTCTTCTTTTTTACTTCTTTGTGCTTAACCAAGAAGACGCTAGAGGAAACGAAGAAACTAGCGGCCATTCGCTTGGTTCAACTCTCCACCTTTCTTTTCCAGAATTGACACTGCCTCTTTGTCTCGATAGCCTATCAATTCATCAGAATCAACATTATCTTAGTTCAATTCATGAGTAATTAATATTATTATCACTACCTCACACTCATTGAATAAGAACACATACGTATCATGTATACTTTGAGAAAAGTTTACGAGAGATGAACATTTGATTGGAATTTTTATATAAATCAAACTTAGGAGGAAACACAAAAAAGAAAGAGCTCAGTCACATGGCAAGCACATCTGAGATTGATCAGAATAATGCGAAGGACCCAACCAACGCTAAAGCCAATATCATCACAGCTCAACTACAACAAATCATGCACCAGCCGGGAATCCAACCCGGGTCTGTACCGTGGCAGGGTACTATTCTACCTCTAGACCACTGGTGCTTTGATGAACAGACAAGACAACTAGATTTTATAGAGTAACATACGGAGGGAGGACTACTATATAGCCGAACCACTTGTGTATACGATACAATTTTGAGGACACAAGTTGTGATTACAGTCAGCAACAACAAGACAGAATCCATCGTATTAAGAAAGTCACTAATTGGCTAAACAAATATATTGTAAACCCAAAATAAACTATTAGCAGAATGACTTTCTTACTTTTAGACGTGAGTGAGAGGTTACAGTAACGCATCTTTCATACTGAAAAAATACCTGTTCTGTTTCACATAAATACAGGAAGGGAAGAAGTTTTAGCGGACTATGTTCACCAAGAGTTGAACAGGATTGCTATTTTTCATTGTGATCTTGTTTTCATTTCAATCTCTAACGAAACCATATTTCTTTTGTAGATAGAATTGGGAACTACACTGATGCCTCACTCTCCAAGGACTTAAACTCCACAGATTCTGTCTCCCCTCAGGAAACTGGGAAAGAAAAAAAACTATTGTCTCCTTAGAAACATGCAGTTACAATATGTGTATGATCATGTTCTCAGCAACAACGCTTTGTTGATCTGAAAACTTGTGGTACAATATGGAACAAGAACGCACTGTGACCCGCAGATATGTAAAGCTTGAAGACAAAACTCTTATGATAAATGGCTCCGTCGTGCCATCACATAGGCTTGGGACTGTGACACATTACAGGTTACATGAAGGGAGCAAAAAGTAGTGGACCACAACAAGGAAGTGAAAGGAGCTAGCAATGTGCTTGGAAAAGACCATGATAAGTATCTAAGAAACCCTTGTCCTGTGTCGTGATAGAACTCCGCCAAGGAGATGCTTGTTGAAACGGGGAGGATTGCAAACTTGGAGCATTACTCTTCTAATGTCAAAGAGTTTAGCTTGTCAGGGAGTCTGAATTACCCGACCAAGCTGTGGTCTCCCGCTGGGAGTTTCGTGGCTACAAACGTTAAGCAGATTCAGACATTCCGGCTTGTGGAACCTAAGTGGTTGAGATATCATAAACTGAACTTAACTAGTCACTATGGGTCTGAGTTTTACTGTACTTTGATGTAGATAAATGTTTGGAATATTTCCAAATATCTTATTATTTATTTTATTAATTATTTAGATAATTATCATTAATGTTTTAGGGTTTTATGATTTTGTTATATATAGCCGTTTAGGCTTAAGAGTTGTATACAGTTTTTTATGAATTAATAAAAGTTAAGAGATTTTTCTTTATTCCTTGTTTTCGGTAGATCATTGGTGATCTCAACGAATTTAAGAAGACATTGATCTTAGGTATTCTTAGACTAAATAAAATCTTTGTGATTATCATAGTTTTCCGGATATTCTCAGAATCAACGGATCACTATTACTATCTTAGAAGCTTCCGCTACATCACTATGGGTCTGAGTTTTACTGTACTTTAGTGTTGTGGAGGTTTTTGGTATTGATGCTCTTGAGCAAATGGTTGAAGATTATATTTGTTGGGTCAGAGACTCTTCCCATTAAACCAGGTATGCTCGAACGGGACCATGAAGTAGATGAGAAACAAGAGGGGGAAGTGAAGAATGATGCGACGGATAAGACTGAAAATGACACTGACGCTCATAAGAAGAAAGATGTTGTGGTGAAGATTATTAATAACGTGGGAGACAAGAAATATGAAGTTAGGGAGAAACATAACGTTTTGAAGTTGTTGATGCAGAAAGCTAAGTTGTTTGAGATGAATCTGTCGGTTCTTGAGGCTTCTGTAAAGGAAATGAACGGGAAGCAACCAGAGATTAGCTTGGAGATGAAGAGAACCCTCATACTTGTGAAGAGAAGCAAAGATGAGATCAGAGAACTCATAGAATGCACAGAGAAAATGGTAAGTTAATTAGGGTTTGATTTCTTTTATTTATTGTGATTCAAAATATACAAACGAGAGAATATGAATAATACTTTGAGCAGGAGAAGGAGCTCAGAGACTTAGAGCATGTGCAACCTGGATTCTTACGGGGTTCTTAACGGGTGTAGACCCCGCAAAAAACTAAAACCCACCTCTTAGAGCATCATAATCGCAAAACAATGGATCCATCTTTTATTTTTTTTTTTTCTTATTTTTTTCTTGTTTAAAAAAAAAAATTAAACGAATAACCAATTGTGAGCCGCCACGTGTCGTGGGACTCGCAGAATAGTGTGAAAGACCTACATCAAACGTCGCTTATTATGTATAGGTGAGTTTTTGATAATTCGTGGACCTCCTCCCCCCCCTTCCGCCTTGAAGAGATGCACAAAAGATGTGCGTTGTTCATGCTCTTCCAACTCTTATGCAAGAACCAATTCTTAGGAAGTTCTTATACTGTTCACGGACCTGATTGACACATGGCGGTCTGTGATTAAATAATTTTATTTTTTTTTCTTTTTTTTTAATCAGATTAAAAAAAAGTTTTAAGAACCCTTTGAAGGTTTTTGGGGTTGCACATGCTCTTAGAGTTATGTAAAACTCTTATAGTTTCTCGTATAGAGTCATTCACTACAAGAAAACAAGCAAACTCCGAGGATCATTTTCTTTGGAAATTCGCCGGAAAACGCTTATTCTGACGAAATTCCCAAAAAAAGCGGTCGTCGAAAAAATCTAGTCAAAAAAAATATATTTCTTCAGAATTTCGTCAGAGGTTCCGAAGAAATACTGACGGTTTCTGATGGACACCTAATCCGAAGAAATTTCGACAAATTTATTCCATCGGATTCTTCCGATGTTTTATTTAAAAAAAAAATATTTATATAATAGTTATTTTATTTTTAAAAACATATATATAATAAATATATAATATATTTTTATAAATATAGAATTTTTTTTATAAATATAGAAAAAAAATTATAAATGAAAAAATAGTTTTAGTAATACAACATATTTTTATAAATATATAAAAAGTTTTATAAATCCAAAAATAGTTTTAATAAATATAAAAATAGTTTTTATAAATCCAAAAAAGTTTAAATAAATATAAAAACTTTTTATAAATATAGAAAAAGTTTTATAAATCCAAAAATCGTTTTAATAAATATAAAAATCTTTTGTATAGATATAAAAATAGTTTTATAAATCCAAAATATTTTTAATATATAGAAAGTATTTTATAAATATAAAACTAGTTTTATATTTAAAAAAAATAGTTTTAATAAATATAAAAATAGTTTTATATTTTCAGAAATAGTTTTAATAAATATCTTATTCGTTTATAAAACGTTTTATAAAATATAAAAACTTAATAAATATTTCTAAAACAACATAAACCACCTAAAATTTGTAAAAAACACAAATATAACATAGAATTCCTAAAATTATCAATGTTATCCTAAAAATTTACATTCCAAACTTAAAATATACAAATCAAACATCTATAACCTAAAATCAACAAATCTAACATCTAAAAACTAAAAAAAAAAAAAACCTAACATCCAAAACCTAAATAAATCTAGTTTAAAGAAAATATTTATAAGACTTACATGATTTTAGGAGAGTGGGTTGGGATTTGAAGAGTTGAAAGGGAGAGGAACGGCCGGCAAGAGAGCTCCAGAGGCGGAGAGAAGAGAGAATTCGAAGAGGGGGAGAGAAAAATGAGGAAGAAGAAGAAGGGTATTTTTTATTAAAAAAAAACCGCGGACCGGAATCCGTCGGAATTTTGTCGGTTTGCGTTTTTAGCGGTTCGCGCAAAATATTTGGCTTTTCAAGCCGTCGGAATGTTTCGAAACTTAGTAATATCGATTAATAAGGCATATAGAAGTTTTGTCGGAATTCCGTCAAAATTGTTTTGACGAAATAGCGTTTAGGGTTTAAAATCATCAACTAATTGTCAAATACATATCTTTCCTAGTATTATAAACTATTTACAAGTGGATTAACTAACAAAGTTAACTGTTTAACTCAATATTATATGAAATTAAAATGTAGAATTAGATTGCCATGATATGTTTGTAGAAGTATATAGATATTGATTAAGATGTTACAAATACGTTGATATGTATATCGAATCAATTTTTTTTGATAAAAAACTCAAAATGGTTGTCAACTAATTTCGTATTATACACTTGAATATAAGTGTTATTTGGTTAGTTTAAGTATTCAAATTTAAATATATATTAATTTTGAAAATATAACATAATTGTCGTCGGAATTTCATCGATATTTTTCGACGAAATTCCGACAAACACCCAGTTTTCGTCGAAATATTCTGATGAAATTTCGACGAATATTAAATTTCTATCGAAACCCCAAAAATTTTATTTAGATGTCTGTCGAAAATTTCTGACGGATTTATGACGAAAAGCAAAAGTATTACAAATAATAATTGTACCTAAATGGATATAAAATTTCTTTGGTTTTCTGTCGGTTTTTCGTCAGAATTTGATAAAAGAAAACAACGCCGTTAATAGCCGTCGGAATGTCCGTCGGAATTTGCCATGCTTTCTTGTAGTGATTAGCCAGAGGAAACTATGCATTGAGGTCAGTGATCTTTTGCGTTTACTACGAAGATGTGTTTTTATAGTTGACCATATTTGTCTTCTCGTTTCTTATTATCAGACTGGATGTAGAGAAGATTGAGAGAGAGCAAAGAGCTTGGAGTTCTGATGATAAGTTTTTCTTCGTGATCATAGCAACGGTTCGGTTGCTCTCAAGGCGATTTTTGGGATGTCTTTTACTGATAAAGCAAGATCGATTTGGCCAGATAGCGGTTGGGTCATGATACTGCTAAAGTAGCAGCCTCATGATTTTCATTACTTTGCTCTCTTAGTTAGTGTAGGAGTTAAGGTTAGGTAATTTAAACACTGCCTTGTTATTCAAGTCTTATAACCCTAGGATTAGAAGTAGAAAGTTATTTTCATTGGTAATAATTGGTAAACAGAAAAGCTTTATTTTCTCAAGAATTTATGTAGGTTTAACCACGTGTATTCAACAAAAGAAAAACTTATTCTCTCAGTACTGATCATTGTGGTTGATCAATTCTTCTGAAATATTAGCCTGCTTCAATATAGTTTCACAAATTTAGATTAGATCATTCATAGAAAAGTTCCTACATATATATTTATCTTATTATAACAGAAACATCACAACTTCTTCTAGGTAATATTTTTAAGTTAGACCTCACATTATTAATGTAACTACGATATGATATAATATAATATAACTACGATATGTCTAATTAGTCTAACTACGATATGATATAATATTTTGCGGGTATCTATTCGTTAGGAAATTACTAATATTTCGGTATCTTATAATTAATAAAAAGATAATTATACATTAGGCTTAGGAAGTTAATCATATATCCGCATTCAACTATTTAATAAAATTTAATTTAAATATATACCTTCTTATTCTTTAGTAAAATCTCCAGTATATGTTTTTTTTAAATAGAAAATCTCGGTTACAATTAAAACTTTTGATTTAATATTAATTATAAAGAACAATTTCAATTTTTAACAAATAATGCTTATGTTTACTTCAAAAAAATTTTAAATATGAATCAAAATAAATTTACTTGGATACAAAAAAATATTTACTTAAAAGTAAAATACTAAAAGTTAATTAATATTTATAATATTTGGTTATATTATTACAAATTATGATGTTTTTACAGTTAAATTTTTTGTGGGTTATTCTATGAAGCAAAAAAAAATAACTATCAAATAAATAATAAATTGAAAAAATATTTAATCATTTTTATTATAACATATTAACATAAACATTAATCAACATGAAACAAATTAAGGGGGTTTTGCAAAACCAACCCAAAAATTCAAGTCAAACACAAAACCAACCTCTTTTTTTTGTCATTACTATTCACTCTTAAAAAACCTACTCTCCTCATGTTTCTAACTATTTACCAAATTGCCATTATTATTAAATATGATATTATTTTCGAAAATTATTAAAAACCTATTACACCCTAAACATTTCTCCTTATTTACCACAATGTCATTGTCATCAATATTTGCAACCACCAAAAACCACCATTGATGAGCTCTTTAAGCTTGTATTTATGAATTTTCAACCACTTATTTCACTTTCTAAACAAACAATACTTCATTTCCTCTCATTTTCTCTCTATTTTCATCTAAAAAATCTTCATAACTCTCATTGTCATGAACACAAACTTCATAGTTTCAATTTTATTCACAAGTGAATCGTAAAGGTTGCTTCTTTTGCTCATATTTGGATTATGAACTGTGGAAAAGCTTGGAAACAAGCTTTAAACCGGTGTCAAGGTAACTATTTACATGCTTTTCGTCATATATCTGATATGTATCGCGAAAGTAGACTGTATTATATGTCTACACTTACATGTAGACTTACGATGCAAGTCTACTTGTCAACGCACATGTTACTTTTGCAATTGACCAAAATAATTTTTTTTTGTAATGTAGACCTACAAGTACGTCAACGTCTTTACCTTTGAAACCAAAAACAAAAACAAAAAATTGGTAGACTTACTAAGAAATCTATATAAAAGAGGTTAGATTTGCATTTGACCAAAATTTTGACTTACCATAGTAGACTTTCTTGGAAGTCTACACTTTGTAGACTGCTAGGTAAGTCTACGGAATGTCAGTTTTGCATTTGACCAAAACTTTGACTTCGTTGAATAGGTTTCTTTTGTATTTGACTAAAATATTTAGAAACTGACTAGAACTTACTTTACGTGTAGACTTCATATGCAGTCTACAAATCTTAGGAAAAAAAAAGTAGACTGCATATGAAGTCTACTATTTTATGTTGGTCAATTGCAAAACTAACATGTCGGGTTATAGTGTATACTTTTACTGCAGTCTACAGTTACGTAGACATTTAGTTTTGTCTACTAGTAGAAAGTCAACTTTGGTCAATTGCAAAACTAACCTCTTTCAAACAAATTTAAAAATGTAGATTGCATAGTAAGTCTACTTCTAAAAGTCAAACTCTGAACGAATTCTAGTCAATTGCAAAACTAACCTTTTTAAAAATGTAGACTAAAAAATAAGTCTACTCGTATAAAATCACATCTTTTTCAAATACAGAAAGTAACCCGTGAATTTGGAAATTGCAAAAACCAACTTAAACGTAGACCTAATTTTCAGTCTACAAAATGTAAACTGAATAAAACGCCTACCCGTCTGTAGACTGAATGTGTAGTCTACCTAGAAAAATCTATCAAAAGTGGATTTGTGTATTATTCATTAAGTTTTTTCAAAAAAAATTTGTTATGAAAGTGTGTGTTAGTTAATCATAAGGGTCTTCAATGATTTTCAGAAGATAATCTGTTATAATTATGAAGTTAACACATTTTTGGTTTTTCTATGTTGTTAGCTTAAAATTTGTAGACGTACTTGTAAGTCTACGTTAAATTTTTTGGTTTGACTATATTGTTTGCTAATAATTGTACACGTACTTGTAAGTCTATTTTATAATTTTATCAAACATGAAATTTTTGTTTGCTAATTATGTAAACCGTATTTTTTTTTTGCAGGAGATGGCTCAATTACTCGTTGTATACAAAGAATGGGTGGTGAAAAACTCTAGATGTGTTAGTGTTATGTGTCGAACTTATGAGTTGTCTTATTGCTATGGATGTTCTATTATGTATTAGTGTCTCATTGCTTTGAGTTGTCTTCTATTGGATTTGTAGGTCTTTAGTGTGTGTTGAACTTATAAACTATATTGTTGCTTTGAATGTTGTCTAATGTGATAGACTTATGTTATATTTTTCTCTGTCAAGTAGACTTCTTTGTAAGTCTACAAGAAAGAAGACTAATAAGTAACAAACATGAGTGTTGCTGGCTTATGGTTTTTGTAACCAGAATGAGTGTTGCTTGTAGAAAGCTATGTATACACATCAAATGTAATGAAGATTACCTAATTTGGTCTTATCATATTCTATTCAATAACCAAATCAAGCTATTTGAATCAAGTGGATCCATCAATCATTCACATGCGACTTGTTTAATTCCAAAACACAAGGGGGTGTAAGTGTACAAAGAGAACAAACCAAAGACCAAACTAATTAAAATTACATGTTTTTGGATGCATGTGTATGTTCATGTCTCTTCTACCCAATTCATTTAGCTGTTGCTGTAGGCTTGAAACAATCTATGTTGCACAATCCTACTGATCTTATCATCCCCCCCCCAAACCTGTCATCATCATCATCATAGTCATTATCAAGATCATTAGTTAATAAAAATTTGAGATTTTGTTGAATGTTTTACCCTTACCTGTCAATACTTTTCCTCCCTTTTTCTGTTTGTATTTGCTGTTCTGTAGCGTTACTCGTTCTCTCAGACCCGTCAACACTTTTTCTCGTTCTTTCTCTCTTATCAAAACTCGCACTCGCTTTAACCTTACTCTCTGTACTCAGCTTAGACATCTTTCTTTGATCAGTGCTAGTTCTTGACTTCTCTCTTTGATCTGTACTTGGCCTTGCAGGTTCTCTAACATCTGTACTGCTCCTCACCTTCTCTGTTTGTGGCACAGTTCCGCTTGGAAGATGAGGAGACTTCTAAACTGCAGATACAAACTTATTTAGATGCTTTATGTACTGAGGTTATAGCTCTAAATCACAGTGGTTTCCTCCTGTGATCCAAAGCGGTTCGTACTTTTCTTTACAAAGATCGAATAGTTGCTTCCCATGAGACCAACTTACAACGTTATCTGATGTTCCCTGCACACAGACGTTATAACCTCGGATCAATACCAAAATGTAAGAGAAAACAAGAATAATATAATATTTATTAATGTAAGTTATACCTATAAACGAGCCTGTTCAATGGCTTCAGCACTTTCGTCAGCTGAGCAAACGACGGCCTCAGATTCGGATCCCTGCCCCAACACACACAAACCAAACAAATGAGTTACTTTTTTTTGTCACATCTGTGTGTATATTATTCTCTTGAGATAAACGAAAACAAAATTCAATAATCCAGCATCAGAGCAAACAAACCTTTTAGTTAGTCAGCTTAGGAAAAAATATTTACGTACCTGAACATTCCAGTTATTATCAACCAAAAGTGCTCTCTCCACCTACACTTAAACCAACAAATAGATGTATAAGAAGACCAAAAACCGTGCGCACCATGTCGAAACGAAACTGGTTAAGTTACTTACAGCATTAGTGTTACTGACATGAATTTTCTGCCTGTTACACAAAGCTCCACCACCTAATAAGTAAACTAGTTAGACTAATCTCAAATACATAACTTAAGAAACATAAATAACTGTACCTGCAGTAGCAGAAAAAGTTCAGGTGTTCCAGCACATTGGACCACTAACAAACTCTACCTACGTCATAAAGAGTTTGTTTGTTTTACTTAAACCAAATCATCAACAAAGAGTATGCAGGAAGTATTAAATGTACCACAGCAGCAGCATCGGGATTTCCTCGATAGAGAATACCAACAGAGACAGCAAAACTTGGATATCCATGAGCAAAATTGGTTGTTCCATCTAATGAAAGCATAATATAAGAGGAGGGGGAGAATAATACTCAATTCCCAGTCATAGTAGGATTAAATGCTTCTCTAAAAGCGAAATCCATAAATGAAGAGGAAGCAGTAAACCTAGAGGATCGATGCACCAGAGGTAATCAGAAGACGTGTCGCCGATGATACCTCCTTCCTCACCAAGAATAAGATGATCACTGAAATTCTTTTTCACCACTTCCAAAATAGCAGCCTCGCTTGCTTTATCGGTACAGTAAAATCAATCAGCAGATACTAACGTGTGCAAAAGGCACATCGTCCTCTGAAACTTTAAACCAATACAAAACATGTGCAAAAGACACATCAGTCATTAGTCTCTTTATAACAGCCTGCAAAAGTCAACGATGACATTATCATCAATTAGAAAGTATGAACCTTGAGCAACTACACAAGCAATGCACCTCGTGAAGGAAATCCTCTACCACCTCCTGGAGGAGGTCCTCTTCCCCTGAAACTTCCTCGTCCTCTTGAAGGACCTCCTCTACCTCTGGAGAATCCTCCACGACCACCACGGCCACCCGGTGATTGACCCCTACAAGAACAAAAACATACCAGTTACAGAGATGAACACTTCTCAGCTAACATTTCAGGGAAACTAAACTAACTACTGATGTATAAGAAGTTGTCTCTTGGAGCATAAGAAGTAGCTAGAGCAGGGTCAATGAAGAAATTGTCTCCTGGAGCATAAGAAGTAGCTACAATACCTTCCATCATTTTGATGGTAAACAACTGGAAAAGAAAACAAAAAAAAAACATAATTAACCTTAAATAAAAGATAGAGAGAGAGAGGTTACAGATTCATTGATGGCGCCAAAGATTTCATCAACTTTACCAATCCGAGTCATGTTCTGTAAGTAGATAGGAGCATTAAAATAAGGAATCTTCTCCTGTGAGAGTTTAGTCACAGCATCTCCCTCACAAGCATGGAGAAAAGTTGCAACCTCTGTAACAAAACAAACAAAGTAACCTAAAAAGTCAATTAACAAGACTATCCACTGATGTCAAAATTTAAAGTCTCAAACTTTCATACAAAACTCAAGTATATACACTAACCCACGACTTCTTTAGGAGGCCTTTCATCTCTATACCCACCAAATCGACCTCCACCACCACCAAATCTTCCTCCTCTGCCACCAAATCGACCTCCTCCACCACCAAATCGTCCTCCTCCACCACCACATCGTTCTCCTCCACCACAAATCGTTCTCCTCTGCCACCAAATCGTCCTCCTCCACCACCAAATCGTCCTCCTCTGCCACCAAATCGTCCTCCACCACCACCAAATCGTCCTCCTCCACCACCAAATTGTTCTCCTCTGCCACCGAATCGTCCTCCACCACCACCAAATCGTCCTCTGCCATCTTTTCCCCCTCTTCCCAAGACTATCCACTGATTAGGTTTTTTTTTTAAACCAGAAAACCCTAAAAAAAAGTATTTATATGTTGTGTAATTTTTTCGGTTATGTTGGTTTGGTTAAATTTCGATTAAGTTAAAAGTCGAACTTGATTAAATCCGGTTAGGTCAATTTGGTATCAGTGTGTAGACTTTTCTGTAAGTCTACAACTCCATTCTTTTTTTTTTGCTTTATTGTTTGAGCAAACCCTGAATGTAAGTAGACTTTATTGTAAGTCTACTATAACCCTAAACCACAAATTTGATACCCAAAATGTTTATTTGATAATCAAAAATGTCTTAATTATTATATTAAATATATAAATATAGAAAATATAAACTTCTCAACATTAGTGTGTCAAAAAAAACAAAAAACAAAAATTAAAATCAAATATCTAACCCTAATATATGAATCTAACCCTAAAAGACATAGCATGTTATACCATTTTGTTGGGAAACCATATCACATTATCTTTCACAAGGTTACCAATTAAATATAAATTCTATTAAATTTTTCACTTATATGAAATTTTAATTTATATATTTCATACTAATCTTTATATTGATGATTTATTTAAAAACTTCCCAAAAATTATTTTTATACATTTTTAAAATTAAATTATAAGATCAACTGACGATGTAGACTATAGAATACGTCTACAAAGTAGACTTCTATGGAGGTCTACAAATGTGTAGACTTCTTTCTATTACATGTAGACTTTCAAAGGACAGAACCGTAAAATAACTGTCTGTTTTTTTGTTTGGTCACAAGGGTTAAGTAGTAACTTCACAACCCCTTTAGGTTGGTTTTGCATTTGACTCAATAAGGGGTACACCTTTAGGACTGAAATGAAATTTTAGGTTGGTTTTGGCAATTTCTCCACAAATTAAAAAGATTAATTATGCCTAATTTCAGTTTTAAATCTTTTAAAATAAACATAACAGTTATACTATTTTGATTTTGATATTAACATAATTATTATAATATTGGATTTCATATCGGCTACCCATCGGCTTAAACGGTTAGTTTCAGATTTAAACAATTTTAGTGGATTTTATCAAACTTTTAAATAATAGATTCATTAAAATCAAAACCAGGGTATATCGAATCACCGGGTTTACGAGTTCGACCGCGGGTTCAAATCAGGATTAAAAAATGATGATTTGAATGTAAATTTTTTTAAATAGTCAAAATTCTTACAGATTAATAAAAAATTTGTAACATTCTTAAGTGCGGATCAAAATCATTAAAATTTGATAAAAATTAAATTTATTTATTTTATAGAAAAATAATATACAATATACATCTATAAATATAATTATATTTTAAATCTTTTAAAAATGTATAGTGGATCCGGATCTGGATATCCTGACCTAAATTTCACTATTCGGGTCTGTAAAATCACTATATGTTCCCGATCTCCAGATATCTGTTTATTCGGAGCAGATCGGAACGTACCTAGATCGGATAACGAATAAGGATATTAAATCTCATGTCTAATCAGGAGTAAGTAAATTCTCAATTAATCATCAAAATGCAAATAGTTAAGTTTAACTTTAATTTTGTATTTCGAACAAACATAAATAATTAATGTTTTCACTGCACAGTTATATTTACGTAATACACTGCTGAACACTATTAATACAACAAACAGTTTTGATATTTTTTAAAATATAAAATATAATTAGACAAACTCGAAACTATATAAAATTAAATTATATAGAATACATCCAAAAAATAAAATCTATGCAAGTGCGCAGATCATGATCTAGTTGTATGTTAAACTTTGATTTGTGATATCTATTTATAGTTTTATACTTATTGCTCTTTTCGTTGACGTAAAAAAAAATTAAGAAAAATTGTCAAAAGGATAACTTACAAATCGTGTTTATTTTTAGTTGTGTCTTGTTAATGAGATTTGAGATCCAAATACAAACAATTCGATTTTATAAAAATATGGAAATTGTTAAGCAATAAAATGATGGTGGCATGTACAATGGCGTTTCTGTATAATTGCCAACATATCCAGGATGATGGGATTCCAAGATTTAGACCTCCGAATCTGACGGACTGAAAAGACTATTCAAAGATCCTACGGCTAGGAGAATCTCATAGAGTAAGTCAAATAAAGTCAACATCATTTGAGGGAAACGTGAGGAACGAAGATCCCACTTATTCCGGAAGTTTTTGTATTGTAGTCCGTCCAATAATTAATTTAGGATTATTAATTTACTAACTATAATAATAAGAACAGCAACGACCAATAACATTTCCCTCTATAAGTTTATTAATCCGGCTTGCCTGAATCAATATAAAATAAGTGGTCACTCGCTTTTCAATTTGCAATACATTTTCACAAGTTGGTTATTCAATTTGGCTATAAAATATCTAATTTACTATCAAACCTGTCAATAACTTTATATCACCAATAAATAATACTAGTATTATACTTTTTGCAACATTTAAGAATATAACAAAATCTAATATATTTTACAGTGGATAGTTATTTCCACAATTCTCATATATACCTTTTGCAACATTTAAGAATATAACAAACTCTAATATATTTTACAGTGGATAGTTATTCCCACAACTCTCACATATGTGTTTTGTAGATGACCTAATCTTATTTGCGGAGGCTTCTGTGTCGCAAGTAAGAGTGATAAGAGCAGTGTTGGAGAGATTTTGTAGAGTTTCTGGACAGAAAGTCAGTCTTCCAAAGTCTAAATTTTTTTTCTCAAGCAATGTGTCTAGAGAACGAGGGGAACTGATAAGCCGAGTGAGTAGAATTGCATCAACAAGAGATTTGGGAAAGTATTTGGGGATGCCGATCCTACAGAAAAGGATAAATAAGGATACTTTTGGGGAGGTCCTTCAGAAAGCTGCTTCAAAGCTATCGGGATGGAAGAAACAAACGCTAAGTCTTGCAGGGAGGATAACTTTGACTAAGTCGGTTTTATCATCAATACCGGTGCATTCGATGAGTACAATACAGCTACCAGTCAATACACTTGAGAAGCTGGATAGTTTATCAAGAAGCTTCGTGTGGGGGAATGGACAGCACTTGGTCTCTTAGAATAAAATTTGTAGACCAAAAGAAGAGGGTGGTTTGGGGATCAGAGTGTCGAGAGATATGAATAAAGCACTAATAGCAAAGGTGGGATGGCGATTGCTATATGATAAGGAGAATTTATGGGCTAAAGTTCTATGGAGCAAATATGCAGTAGGAGATATTCATGATGCTACTTGGATGATAGAAAGAAGGAATGTTTCTTCTACTTGGAGAAGTGTGGCAATGGGGATAAGGGAAGAGATTTTTCCTGGTCATAGTTGGGTAATTGGCGAGGGGAGAGGGATTAAATTTTGGACTGATAGGTGGATTTCAGGTCGTTTGCTTGATACAGGTGTGATTGCAGAGCTGCCAGGAGGATACGAGAATATAACAGCTCGAGATTTGTGGTTGGAAGGTGGGGGATGGGATCTAACGAGAATTGTTCCATTTGTAACAGAGGAGACACGGCTGAAGCTTGCAGCAGTGGTGGTGGACGTGGTTACTGGTGCAAAGGATCGTCTAGCTTGGGGACAAACCCCATACGGGCTATTTACAGTGAAGTCTGCGTACAAACTACTTACACGAGATGAGATTCCAGGGCCAAACATGGGAAGCTTTTTTCGAAGGTTGTGGCGTGTGGAGGCTCCTGAGAGAGTTAAAGTGTTCCTTTGGTTAGTTGGAAATCAGGCACCTATGACAAACACAGAGAGACATAGAAGACATCTTAGCGGGACTGGTTTGTGTCAGGTCTGCAAAGGAGGAATAGAAATGACCCTACATGTACTCAGAGATTGTCTAGCGATGACAGGAATATGGAACAGATTTGTTCCAGCTACGAAGAAACAAGATTTCTTCTCGATGTCTTTATCCGAATGGTTGTATAGGAACTTATGTGATAATGAAACAGGGTGTGGAAGTCCTTGGGCTACGCTGTTCGCCTTATCGGTTTAGTGGGGGTGGAAGTGGAGATGTGGTAATGTATTTGGAGATAATAGACTTTGGAGAGATCGTGTGAAGTTCTTAAGAGACTTGGCCAAAGAAGTGATGTTAGAAAAGGAGGTTGAGCAGGGGGCTACAAGTATTGGGAGCAGAGTTGAAATAATGGTAGGATGGACACCTCCTCCGTTAGGATGGATGAAGCTTAATACAGATGGAGCATCGCATGGGAACCCAAGGCCGGCTTCTGCAAGAGGTGTATTACGTAATGGAGATGGTGAGTGGTACGGTGGATACGCTCTCAATATTGGGAGATGATCTGCTCCGTTGGCGGAACTCTGGGGAGTCTACTATGGATTGGTAATTGCTTGGGAAAAAAGTATAAGAAGGTTGGAGTTGGAAGTGGATTCTAAAATGGTGGTGGAGTTTTTGACGACAGGGATTGGTGATGCTCATCTGCTGTCTTTCCTGGTACGACTGTGCCATGGCTTATTATCGAGGGACTGGTTGGTCCGGATAGCTCATGTATACATGGAAGCAAATCACTTAGCTGATGGTTTGGCTAACCTGACCTTTTCTTTAGTGTTTGGTTTTCATAGACTTGACGATGCACCATTAGAGGTCGCTACTAGATTGAGAGAGGATGTTGATGGACCATTACGGTCACGACAGACTCGTTTGTAGTTTGATTCTTGTTCTTTAATAAATATTGGGAGGTTTTTTCTCCCAATTTCCTACCAAAAAATAATAATAATACATTCCTTTGGGAAAAAGCTTTCACGTGGAATCCAAATGGAAAATATTCTTCAGTATCTAGCATTTTTGAAATTTACACATATATGCTTTAAGGTTAAAACACTAGGACTGTAATTGTCTGATTTGATAACTCGATTTATTGGTGATGTAACCTAATATAATACTATTGGATATAAAAAAAAAGAATGAAAGTTGGTGTTCAAGTTTAACACCCTCTATATTTA